CATCAATATTCCACATTCGAGTATCTGGGATCTAGTCCTTGCTGCTCTGCTTCCAGTCCAGCTTCCTGCTAATGCTTGCACTGGGAAAAGTCTAAAGTACCTAAATACTCGAGTTTGCAGCTTCTGGCTTTGGTCTGATTTGTCTCTAGCAGTTGTGGGCATTTGGGGAGTGAACTAGATGTGTGTGTGTGTGTGTGTGAGTACATGCATATATGTACATGTCTACCTTTCAATTAAAAATGAAAAATGTAAAAAATTGACAAAACCATAGGGTAAAAATGATTACCTTGAAGTGACATTTTAAAAAAGACTTATTTATATTTTTTATTGGAAAGTCAGATTTACAGAGAGAAGGAGAGACAAAGAAAATAATCTTCCATATGTTGGTTCACTCCCCAAATAACCACAAAAGCCCGAATTGAACTGATCTGAAGCCAGGAGCTTCTTCCGGGTCTCCCACTGGGGAAAGGGTCCCAAGACATTGGGCCATCCTCTGGTGTTTTCCCATACTACAAGCAGAGAGCTGGGCAGGAAGTGAAACAGCCAGGGCATGAATTGGCACCGATATGGGATCCTGGTAGATGCAAGGCAAGGATTTAACAACTAGGATGTCGCACTGGGTCCAAAGATTTATTTATTTTTATTTAAAAGGCACATTTTATAGAGAAAGAAGGTCTTTATCTGCTGGATCATTCCCCAAATAGCCAAAGTGGTGAGGGCTGGACCAGCTTCCAGCCAGGAGCCAAGAACTCCATGCAGGTGTCATGTGGATGCAGAGTCCCAGAGATCTGGGCTGTCATTTGCTATCAGCTTAGAGCTTAAAAGATTAGAAGTGAACTGGCTGGATGCTGGTGTTGCACGAGGTGGCTTAACTTTCTGCTTCCAACTTCTAGTTTGTTTCACTTAGTATTTTCAACATGTATCAGTTCTTCTCTCCTTTTTATTACAAAATATTCTGGCCGCGAGTGGTGTCCAGCGGCTAAAGTCCTCTCCTTGAACATGCCTGGGATCCCATATGGGCACCTGTTCTAATCCCAGCAGCCCCACTTCCCATCCAGCTCCCTGCTTGTGGCCTGGGAAAGCAGTCGAGGATGGCCCAAGGCTTTGCAACCCTGCAGTTGTGTGGGAGACCCAGAAAGAAGTTCCTGGCTCGTGGGATTGGATCAGCTCAGCACTGGCCTTTGTGGACACTTGGAGTGAATCATCAGATGGAAGATCTTCCTCTGTCTCTCCACCTCTCTGTATATCTGACTTTGCAATAAAAATAAAATTTTTCTTTAAAAAAATCTCATCATATGGTGTATCAGTTTTGATATCCACTAATGGATGATAGCCAGTGGGGTTTTCAGTTTTTAGCTATTGTGAGTAATACTTCTTTGACTATTCATGTACGAGTTTGGTGTGGCACACTGCTGCTGAGGGAAGCTAGGAAGCAAAAAAAAGTCTTCCCTTACATTATCTTACCTTATATTCACATGGGCATAGTATGTAATGAGTCACCTGAGATTGTCCTGTGTGTGTTTTAAGATTTATTTATTTTTATTTGAAAGGCACTTTTGTTTTGCTTTTGTTTGTTTGTTGATGGAGAGGAGAGAGGAGAGACAGGAAGATCTTCTGTCTGTAGGCTTACTCCCCAGATGGCCACAGTGGCTAGAGCGGAGCTGATCCAAATCTAGTAGTTTATTCTGAGCCTCCTATGTGAGTGCAGGAGCCCCAAGACCTTGGGCCATCTTCCACTGCTTTCCCCGGCCATAGCAGAGAGCTGGATTGGAAGTGGAGCAGCCAAGACAAAAACTGCTGTCCCTGTAGGATTCTGGCATGATGAGCCACTGCGCTATCCCCAGATTGACCTATTTTTCATTGGTTAAATGAAGCAGCAACAACATTTAAATCTTTTTCCTTTTTAAAATGTCATTGTATTGGACCCATGTAGATAGTAGAAACATGAACCTCCTATGATAAAAATTAATGAGGGCCTGGCGTGATAGCCTAGTAGCTAAAGTCCTCACCTTGTACGTGCTGGGATCCCATATGGTCACTGATTCATGTCTTGGCTGCTCTGCTTCCCATCTAGCTCCCTGCTTGTGGCCTGGGAAAGTAGTCGAGGATGCCCAAAGCCTTGGGACCTGTACCCACATGGGAGCCTAGAAGAAACTGCTGGCTCCTGGCTTCAGATTGGCTCAGCTCTGGCAATTGCGGCCACTTGGGGAGTGAGTCAGCAAATGGAAGATCTTCCTTTCTGTTTCTCCTCCTCTCTTTATATCTGACTTTCCAGTTAAAGTAAATGAATTATTTTAAAAATTTCTTAGTGGTTAATACACTGGTTAAGATAACTGTATCCTGTATTGGAATGCCTAGGTTTGAGCCCTGGTTTTGCTATCAGTTCTAGCTTCCTGCTGCTGGATACCCTGGGAGGTAGCAGTCCTTATATCCCTGCCACCTGCATAGGAGAACTGCACCAAGCTCCTCACTTTGGCTTGGCCAACTGCGGCCATTGCAGCTGACTGGGGAGTGCACTGATACATAGGTGCTTTCCATGTCTTTCTTCCTCTCACATTAAAAAAGTAACAAATAATTTTAGGTCAGTTCCTTCTCCTTTGGGATTAGGGTATTATTATTTGTTTAACAAAAACTTAAAGCGTCTTGCCTTTGTGTAAATAAATCTTTGCTTACCTCACACTGTTAATTCAAGCTAAAAACCTGAAATAGATATGAGTCCTGACTTTTCTGTAGTTTCATTGTTTTCCTAGGATCAATTACTGTCCTCAGTATATCTTCTTGCCTCATATCTCGGGGATGCAGAATCCTCCAAATAGGTTGAAAGAAAAATGTTTGTCAAATACAAAACTTTATTTTACAAAATCAGAACTATATAGAAAAGTTCTTTGAATTATTTGCTACTCTAAAAGTAACCAACTGGTAATTTTATTTGTTTATTTATTTTAAAGATTTAGTTATTTTTAATGCAAAGGCAGTCCGATATACAGAGAGGAGGAGAAACAGAGAGGAAGATCTTCTGTCCAATGATTCACTCCTCAAGTGACCACAAAGGCCAGTGCTGTGCTGATCTGAACCCAGGAGCCAGGAACTTGCTCCAGATATCCCATACGGCTGCAGGGTCCCAAAGCTTTGGGCTGTTCTCCACTGCTTTCCCAGGCCACAAGCAGGGAGCTGGATGGGAATTGGGGCTTCTGGGATTAGAACCGGCACCCATATGGGAACCCCGGGGCATGTTCAAGGCGAGGACTTTAGCTACTAGGCCACCATGCCGGGCCCTATTTTATTATTTTTGCTTGAAATAGCTACAGAGAGAGAGGGAAAGACAGAGGATAAGAGGCTCTTCCACCTGCTGGTTCACTCCCAAATGGCTATAAGTGCTGGAGCTGAGCCTGTCCGAATCCAGGGTCTGCCACATGGGTGTATCGGCCCAAGGTCTTGGGACATCTTCTGCTGCTTTTCCAAATCATAAGCAGGTAACTGGGTGGGACTGGAAATGGCACCCAAAAGGATGCCCAGTGCCTGCTACAACGCTGCATCAGCCCAAGTTTTAGTTTTCTCTCTCTCTTTTTTTTTTTTTTAAAGGCTTATTTTTATTATTTTTTTATTGGAAAGGCAGATATACAGAGAGGAGAGACAGAGAGGAAGATCTTCCGTCCGATGATTCACTCCCCAAGTGAGCGCCACAGGCCGATACTATGCCGATCTGAAGCCAGGAGCCTCTTCTGGGTCTCCCACGCGGGTGCAGGGTCCCAAAGCTTTGGGCCATCCTCGACTGCTTTCCCGGGCCACAGGCAGGGAGCTGGAAGGGAAGCAGGGCTGCCGGGATTAGAACCGGCGCCCATATGGGATCCCGGGCACGCAAGGCGAGGACCTTAACCACCTGCGCCACCACGCCGGGCCCCAAGTTTTAGTTTTCATAAAAATAAGAAAATTAGTATTTTTCCTTTTGTTTTTAAAAGATTTGTGCATTTACTTATTTTCTTTAAAGGTTTACTTATTTTATTTGAACAAGTTTCTTTATGAGGGAGAGGGAAAGTGAGAGAGGAATCGGTCAATCTTCTGTTTGCTATTTCATGACCCAAACGCAGCAGCAGCCAGAGCTAGGTTGATCTGAAGCCAGGAGTTCCCTCCAGGACTGTAGTGTGAGTGCAGGAGCCTAAAGTCTTGGGCCATTTTCTACTGCCTTTCCAGGCACTTTAGCAGGGAATCTAGGCCACCCCGAGAGCTGGCAGGAAAAATTCTGTCCTTAGTACCTGCATTCCCTAATAGATGCTGTTTTTTTCCTGTTTTGTGCAGAGTAAAATTGAAGTTGAGGCATTCCATTTTTATAGATTTCTGAAGTAATGTTGTAGTAAGGTTATTTAAATAACATTATTCGTCTTTCATTTTCCATTTGTATCAAACATTATTATGTCAGTTCCCTAATTTAGCACCGTTCCTTCCCAGGCCACTTAGTCAAAGCAACCCCTTTTTCTTTTCAAAGATTTGTTTATTTGAAAGGGAAAATGAGGGGAGAAATGAAAATCGAAGATCTTTCATCCTGATTTACTCTCAGTGGCTGTAATGACTAGGGTTGGGCCAGACCAAAGCTAGGAGCCTGGAATTGGATTTGTGTCTCCCAAGTGGGTGGCAGGGGCCCACGCACTTGGGACTCAAAATTAAGGCTCTCATACGAAATGCGGGTGTTTCAGGCAACAGTTTATCTTGCTGTGCCGTAGTGCTGGCTCCTCTTCTATGTCTTGAATGCACCTGGTCAGATTTCTGTGTACAGAGAGTTGGGGGGGAAATTACAAACTTTTCTTTAGGTGCATGACTGGAAAATAGGAAGAGTATCTTTATTTTCCACTACTTTTGCTTTGCCTTATGAGCTGTATACTGGAATATAAAGCGATGCAAGTCTGAAAGTCAGTGCTCATTTATGTTATTCCGTGGAGGCTGATGAGAAAACAAATGTGAAGAAATAATTGACTAGTACTTATTTGTATGTGTGTTCCTGGCAGGTGCTGTTGGCAGCGGCAGTCTGCACAAAAGCAGGAAAGGCTATTGTTTCTCGACAGTTTGTGGAAATGACCCGAACTCGGATTGAAGGTTTGTTAGCAGCTTTTCCAAAGCTGATGAACACTGGAAAACAACATACATTTGTTGAAACAGAGAGTGTAAGATATGTGTACCAGCCTATGGAGAAACTGTACATGGTACTGATCACTACCAAAAACAGCAACATTTTAGAAGACTTGGAGACTCTAAGGCTCTTCTCAAGAGTGGTAAGAGTCCTGCAATATTCAGTTCTGTGTTTTTATACTTTTTATGTGAAACTGGTTTTTACCCCTAAAGTGGCTGCTGTTTAAAACTTTGTAGCTTATTGCTATAGTTTATTATTCATTCAGCAAATATTTAGTGGATGTCCTTTACTCTGTAACTATCCCAGAAGAGAATATGGAACTACCATCTCATTTTTTTTAAGATTTATTTTATTTTTATTGTAAAGTCAGATATACAGAGAGGAGGAGAGACAGAGAGGAAGATCCCCTGTCCGATGATTCACTCCTCCAAGTGACCGCCATGGCTGGTGCTGAGCCAATCCAAAGCCAGGAGCCAGAAGCTTCCTTCAGGTCTCCCACACGAGTGCAGGGTCCCAAGGCTTTGGGCCGTCCTCTATTGCTTCCCTCCCAAGGCCACAAACAGGAAGCTGGATGGGAAGTGGGAATCCCAGGACCAGAACTGGCGTCCACATGGGATCCTGACGCGCTCAAGGCGAGGACTCCAGTTGGTAGGCCATTGTGCCGCTAGGGCACTGCGCCGGGCCCTACCATCTCATTTATCACTTTTTTTTTTTTAATAAACTTGGGTTTCTATGAGAATTTGTTTCAAAGATTTATGTATTTATTTATTTTATTGGAAAGGCAGATTTTACAAAGGAGAGACAGAAATATCTTCCATACACTGGTTCACTCCCCAAGTAGCCACAACAGCCAGAGTTGAGCCAATCTGAAGCCAGGAGCTTTCCCCAGGTCTCTCATGTAAGTACAGGGTCCCAAGGCCTTGGGCCGTCCTCGACTGCTTTCCCAGGCCTCAAGCAGGGAGCTGGATGGAAAGTGGAGTAGGTAACACACGAACCAGTGCCCATATGGGATTCTGGGAGATGCAAGGCAAGGATTTAGCCACAGCCCTATATCAAGTCCCATGTCTCACTTCTTAAGCAGTTACTTTAATCTGCCTTTGTGGTGTTAATACTTGTTTGGTGTGGTTTTTAATGTTTTTTAGTAACTTACTGATACATACAGAAATACAAGGGTTTATGCCAAGAACTTATAAAGCCTAGTAGGAGCCAAGAAAGTGATTTCAGGTTTATTGGAATTTGAGTATTTAAAAGGCTAAGATCTGGAAACACAGATGTTGGTAAATTCTGAATCTTTTCCATTGCTCTCCATGCTTAGATCCCTGAATATTGCCGAGCCTTAGAAGAGAATGAAATATCTGAGCACTGTTTTGATTTGATTTTTGCTTTTGATGAAATTGTTGCTCTGGGATATCGGGAGAATGTTAACCTGGCACAGATCCGAACCTTCACAGAAATGGACTCTCATGAGGAGAAGGTGTTCAGAGCAGTCAGAGAGGTAAATCTTTGGGGCTGTTGAGTTGGATAAGTTTCTTGTTTTTACTTGCCACTATGGATTGTACTCAAAGCTATATCCATGTACTTATTTCTCTTTCATAGACTCAAGAACGTGAAGCTAAGGCTGAGATGCGGCGTAAAGCAAAGGAGTTACAACAGGCCCGAAGAGATGCAGAGAGACTGGGTAAAAAAGCACCAGGATTTGGGGGATTTGGCAGCTCTGCAGTGTCTGGAGGCAGCACGGCTGCCATGATCACAGAGACCATCATTGAAACTGAGAAACCAAAGGTGGCACCTGCACCAGCCAGGTACAGTCCAGTGCATATACCAGCACCCCTAGATGGCAGGTGAAGACTGTATGTCTGGAGGGATGCCTGATTTCTAGCAATCTATAAATATGAGAGACTTGATGAAATAAGATCTTAAGATCTCTTAAATCAGAACTTGTTAAACTGAACTTCACAAAGTATAGAGAGAAAGGAGAGATATGAATATCATATTTTTCATTTTAGGTAGAAGAGTTTTTTGTTTTTGTGTGTGTTTTTTTTAACAAATTATCACAGGACAGTTTCTTATCAGAGATGCCTTATTTGGGGAAGGGAGGAAATATTCAGTTCTTTCTGGAATGTGTTTTAATCTTGGTCAACAGTTGATTCAAGGGGGAATCTGAACTACTTGAATATGCATAATTTTGTTTGTGCACAAGTACATTTGTCTGGATGGAAGGCACATAATTTTCTTCAGATCCTGTAGGATTATAAAAATGTGCCATGGGTCTTTGAGTACTCAAGGCTTAAATGTTGTAGTTCCATAGGCCCTGGGATTTCTCCTACCCCTACCTCGTCCCCACCTCTCCCCACCCCCCCAAGTTCTCCTATATTATTACTCTAGTATAGTTTTTTTTTTTTTTTTAACAATCTTTACACAGTTAATTTGGGTAAAAAGGTTCAAGGGCTATAGGAAAGTGGGTAAGATTATTATTTCCATATTGCTTCCTTCATGTATTTGAGGTAAAGGGGGATATCGAGGGAGAAACCCCACCCAGTTTCCCAGCCACCCCAAGTCCTGCATGTGTGGCATGCTCTGAGATACTCGCTCAAGTGGTTTGGATAGGTTACAAGTTATGAATCGCTGCCAATCTCGCCTCTCCAAACACAACGAGGTCGTTGAAAAATCCACTGATTGACATTATCCATCATAGCATCTCTATTTGCCTGGTATTTTGTTGCCAACCTATAGCTGAGGTGGTTGATTAACCTGTTCCATTTTCTGTCCTTTCATGGTTAGGGTTCTGAGTCCGGCATTTCAATTGGGGAGATCCCCAAAGAAACTTTGTCTGAGGTGTTTCCAGGCCGGATTCTTGTATGCACCAACAAGTACAGGGTCCAGTACAGTCCATCGCCCTGATCAGCTGGTGGTTGCAATTGCTGGGTTGGTTCTGTTTCCAGCACCACCTTCCACTGGAACCAATGGGTGTTACAGTCCAGACTGGTTCTGCACAGTGCATACTCGGCCCTCACCTAAATCAGTGGGAGCTGCAGCCTGGTGAGAGTGACCCACAATAACCCCCACCAGGACCGCCCCCTACCCTGGTTTGCCAGAATGTGTAGCAGACCCGTCCAGTCTGTCCCACATCCCCCTTGTCTCTTCTTCATAAACAGTCATATGTCCATCATTGCTGGCATGGACAATGGCAGAGAGTCCAGCATCCTATTGTCAAGATATACTTAACAGTTTCATTGATCTGGAAGTAGAGATGCCCACTGCGTTATATCCTCACATATCTGGATATGATAGTCTCCATTACACAGTAACCATACAGCCTCTTAAATGAAAAGCCACAATAAAAATCAACAAGAAGAAAAATAGATACTCAAGACTTAAATGTTGTTTTGATTTGTTAATTTTTTATTTTCTTTTTCTTACTGTTTACATAGTTGAGGGATTCATGCCATATGGACCTCCAGTTAGGTTGGGGAGGGTCAGGCATTGAGGAAGTTAAGTGGGACAAATGTTTCAGGTTTTTTTTTTTTCCTGTGTTTAGTGGGGAGGAGAGGGAGGAGGCTGCTCCTTGCTAGCAAACTACATCAGTACCCAGGATGGGGCATGGTCTTGATGATGTCGATGTCAGGAAGAGTGTTCCAAGGGTGTTATTACTTGAGTAGTTTTGGTATCTGTGATGTTGTTGGCTACATTGTGCCAATGTTGAGAAACTCTTTCCAGGGTCTATTGGTCTCAGTGCATCTACAGACCCAGGAACATGCTGCTAGCTTGGCCAGGAAAATTGTCCAACTTGTTCTGCTTTTCATTCTCTAATGAGGCAATCAGCATTCCCTGCTGGCCTGGATGAGTTGACCATCCTGTCTTCCGTGTGCATCTGGGCATGTTGTCCATCACACAGGCATCAACAATTGAGGAAGCCCAGTCTCAATACATGCACTCCAAGGTCAGGTCATACATCCTGTGATCTTCCAGGGTGGCTGGTGTCTGAGTCCAGCAGTATAGTGTGGAGTCCCCCAAGAAACCCTGCCTGGGGTAACCTCCAGCTTGATTCTTGTGCACGAGCCAGTGCAGGGTCAGGTTCGGTCTGTCATCTGCACCAACCAGTGCACATACCAGTGGATGCAGCTGCCTGGTCAGTTTTGCCTCAGCCTCAGCCTCACACCTGACATGAGCCGATGAGTGCTGTGGCTTGGCCCAGCTAGTCTGCCACAGACCCGAACCTCAGATATGCCAGCCAATACTGTAGCCTAGTCAGGATGATCCCCAATAACTCCTACCAGGCCTACCCCATCCACAATACCAATTTTTGTGTGTACCAGTCTCTGCGGCCTAGCCTGGTCCAGCCTGAATTACATCCAGCTCTTGCGTACACCCATGGATGCTGTGGCTTAGCTCAGTCAGATCTGGCCCTCAGGTTAGCCAATGGATGCCACCACCTTGTCCGCCCCCAGCCCTGGTTCTCATGCTCAGCAGCAGTAGGTACAATCTAGCAGAAGAGTGCCCACAGGCATGCTGCCAACACAGATCTTGTGCTTGCCAGGAAGTACTGTGAGTCCAACCTGACAAGATTTGCACCCAGTCCTGGCTCTTGCCAGCTGATGCTGTGGTGTAACCCAACTGGTCTACACACATTCTGGCCCCTGCGCATTGCCACCGGGTGTGGCTCCAAACCTTGAATATTAATAGTGACTGTCAGCTGGCAGTTTGGGTAGGTTCTTAAGTCAGAACATGAATAGTCTAGTTGTCTACTAACAATAGGAACCTTGGGTTTTTCCCTTGAGGTATTCACATTCCTCTTAAGGAATTCCTATAGGATACAGGGTCATTAATTAATGTTTTTTAATTTTAATTTTTTTAAATTTTGTGTTCTTCCACTTAGGCCTTCAGGCCCCAGCAAGGCTTTGAAACTTGGAGCCAAAGGAAAAGAAGTAGATAATTTTGTGGACAAATTGAAATCTGAAGGTGAAACTATCATGTCCTCCAACGTGGGCAAACGCACCTCTGAAGCAACCAAAGTGCACGTTCCGCCCATTAATATGGAAAGGTAAAGTGGTAACTTTCAATAAGAAAAATCATGCTGTTTTATTTTTTTAAAGACTTATTTATGTATTTGAAAGTCTGAGAGAAGGAGTGGCAAAGAGAGAGATCTTCCATTTGCTGGTTTACTCCATAAATGGTCACAACAGCCAGATTCCAGCCAGGCTGAATCCAGAAACCAAAAGCTGCTGCTGCTGCTTTTTTTTTTTTTAAGATTTATTTATTTTTATTGCAAAGTCAGATATACGGAGAAGATCTTCTGTCCAGTGATTCACTCTCCAAGTGACTGCAACATTTGGAGCTGTGCTAATCCGAAGCCAGGAGCTTCCTCCAGATTTCCCACACAGGTGCAGGGTCCAAAGGCTTTGGGCTGTCCTCGACTGCTTTCCCAGGCCACAAGCTGGGAGCTGGATGGGAAGTGGGGCTTCTGGGATTGGAACCCGCTCCTATATGGGATCCTGGCACTTGTAAGGCGAGGACTTGAGCTGCTAGGCCACTGTGCAAGGCCCCAGAAGCTTCTTAAGGGTCTCCCATGTGGGTGGCCAGAGCCTAAGTGTTGGGCTTTTTTCCAGTATTTTCCCAGGTGCATTAGGAAACTAGATTGCAAAGAGAGAAGACAAGACTCAGCCTAGTGCTCATATAGGATGTGACACAGGCAGTGGCCTAACTTGCTATAATACCACACTTGGCCCCAAAACATGTAAATTAAAAAAATATTTGGGGCCCGGCGCGGTGGCGCAGTGGTTAAGGTCCTCACCTTGCACACCCGGGATCCCATGTGGGCGCTGGTTCTATCCTGGCAGCCCCGCTTCCCTTCCAGCTCCCCGTCTGTGGCCTGGGAAAGCAGTTGAGGACGGCCCAAAGCTTTGGGACCCTGCACCCACGTGGGAGACCCGGAAGAGGCTCCTGGCTTTGGATTGGCACAGCACCAGCCGTTGCTGTCACTTGGGGAGTGAATCATCGGACGGAAGATCTTCCTCTCTGTCTCTCCTCTCTGTATATCTGCCTTTCTAATAAAAAAAATAATAATAAAAATAAATCTTTAAAAAAAAATATTTGGAGCCTGGCACAATAGCCTAGTGCTTGAAGTCCTCTTCTTGCATGCATCAGCATCCCATGTGAGTGCCAATTTGTGTCCTGGCTGCTTCACTTCCATCCAGTTCCCTGCTTGTGACCTGGGAAGGCAGTAGAGGATGGTCCAAACCTTGGGACCATGCACCCTCGTGGGAGACCCAGAAGAAGCTCCTGGCTCCTGGCTTTGAATCAACTCAGCTCTGGCAGTTGTGGCCACTTGGAGGAGTAAATCAGCAAATGGAAGATCTTTCTCTCTGTATTGCTTCTCTCTGTATATCTGCTTTTCCAATAAAAATAAATCTTTTAAAAATAATAATATTTTGATGTTCTGTAAGTTTTTTAATCTTTCTTGATTTAAAAGATTTATTGAGCTCATATTGTGGAATTAGCACAAGATTTCTTTAATCTTGAAGGAGCGTTCTCAGCCATCCATTCTCTGTAAAGTTAAAACTTACCTTTAAATGACTAAGTTAAAAAGAGCTTGTCTTCATGCCTAGTTTGTGTCTTGTCTGTTAAAATGGACTTGAATTAGATAGCTAGAGCTGTGGTAGCTCTATACTGTATTTCGGTGTGTGTTTTATTGTTGTTGTTATTTATTTGAAAGGGAGAGACTGACACTGACTTCCTTGGCTGCAGTAGCCACCTCTGGTCCAGGTTGAAGCCAGGAACCAAGAACTCCATTCTGGTCTCTGTGTTGGTGGCTGGGGCTCAAGTGCTTGGCCCATCCATCTACTGCTTTCCCTGGGGCATTAGCTGGAAGCTAGGTTGGAAGCAGAGAACCAGGACTTGAGCTTGCAGCGTATCTTGGGATGGCACTGGCCCCCAGCATATCTTTTTCTAGTTGCATCTTTAGTCTAAAATATAGAAATACTTTGAATCAAATTAATATATTAATTTTTCTTTTATGTGTTTTTACTTCATATAAAATATATTGATTTATCTTTTATCTCAGAGCTGTGGTTCTGGTTGGTGACATTTTTAGGTGGTAGTTAACATTCATGGCTCAGATTTCTTGACTTAAAGCCCAGACCTTCTACTGTTGCTGATGGTTTTGAGGTCAAGTGAAAGATGAGTCTGGGAGGATACTTCTATCAGGTGTGCATAAAAGAGGAGTTTGCTCTTTATATGTCCTACTCTGCATGCAATGAGCAGGGTTATGTCAGGGTAAGTCTTGATTCACTAAAGCTGTGTTATTCTGCTAGTGCGTTGAAGAAGGCAGAACCTTCACACTTTGAGATGTTGAAGACTGTCATGTCTTAGAGTTGAGACTTATTCTAAATAATAAAGTACCTCTTGAACATTGCTACCTGTAGTGAGTACAGTGGGACCCTGTGTAGACCTGTGTGGTCTTAAGTTTGGGGCCTTTGTTTCTAGAAAGGCCTAAGGGTTGGAACGGTGAACAATAGGATGCCAAGGCACTCTAGCCTCTGCAGCTCATCCAGCTAGGACTAGTTCCATTCCTGAATATAAATTGTATTTGATAATTGTCCTTTCACAAGAAGAAATAGAAACAACTCTCTCGCACCTTTCCCTTCTCTGCCCATTCCATTCCTGAATGTGTTTCTGTTGTTTCCTCAACTTTTAAATAAACTCTACAAATAAGTAAATAGTGATTGTCCATTGTAGCAAGACTTTTTTTTTTTTCAAGATTTATGTTATTTTTATTTGAAAGAGTTACAGAGAGAGAGAAATCTTCCATTCATTTCCCAAATGACCTCAATGGCCAGACTTGAGCTGTTCTGAAGCCATTAGCTTCTTCCAGGTCTCTCACATGGATGCAGGGGCCCAAGAACTCGGAATGTCTGGTGCTTTCTGAGGAACATTAGCAGGGAGTTGAATCATACAAACGAAGCAGACAGAACTCAAACTGATGCTCACGTGAAGTGCTGGCCTTTTGTTAGTAGCTACATGACAATGTTGACCCTGTAAGTTGCCTCTCTATGGTTCTAGGAGGGAGAAAAAAACCAAATAAGTACACATGTATGTACTGTTTAAATAAAGAATATACAGGGTCTGGCGCAATAGTGTAGCTGTTAAAGTTCTCGCCTTGCACGCACCAGGATTCCTTTTGGGCGCTTGTTCTAATCCTTGCAGTCCCGATTCCCATCCAGCTCCCTGCCTTTGGAGTCCAGCAGTTCGAGTCCTGTGACTCCAGGCCTTGCCTTCCTGAGCAGAACTCCTATAATCCCAACTACAGCTCTGACTACAATTACAACCTGGGGGCTAACCGAACAGCGGCTTCGGAATCGGCCAGTGCAGAGACTACTGGGACCTGGCCCATGAGTGTGACCCGCTGAACTGCTTTGTGCGGTGCCGAGTCCGGGTCCAGGGCCACTTCTAGGACGAGGGCAGCTCCTGCAGCCCTTTCATGCTGGCCTCCTTGGAGTCCTTGTAAGACTCAAACTGCTGAAAGTATTTTTATTGGAAAGGCAGATACACAGAGAGGAGGAGAGACAGAGAGGAAGATCTTCGGTCGGATGGTTCACTCTCCAGGTGGCCTCAACGGCTGGAGCTGAGCCAAGCTGAAGCCAGGAGCCAAGAGCTTCCTCCGGGTCTCCCACGCTGGTGCAGTGTCCCAAGGCTTTGGGCCATCCTCAACTGCTTTCCCAGGCCACAAGCAGGGAGCTGGATGGGAAGTGGGGCTGCCAGGATTAGAACAGATGCCCATATGGGATTTCGGTGTTTTCAAGGTGAGGACTTTAGGTGCTGCACTATGGCACCAGACCTACCAACTGATGAGCATTCTGGGAGGCAACGGATGATACCTCAAATATCTGGATCCCTGTCACCATTGTATAAGGCCTGGGTTAATTCCTGGCTTCCAGATTTGACTAGTCCAGCCCCTGACTTAGGAGCATTGGAGAGTGACTAGCAGATGGAAACCTTTGTGTGTGTCCCTTGTTTCCCTGTCTCTCAAACAAAAAGAAGGCAAATATTAAAACTTTAGCCCCTCCTTACTCCCACCTACCTCAGAATTCATAGCCAAAATATTTTTTTAATTGGAATACACATGTGGCTTAAACAGTGTGCTCGTCACTTGGGATGCCTGCGTTCGATGTTAGAATGGTCTGCTTGAGTCCCAGTTACCCTGCTTCCCATCCAGTTTCCTGCTGATGTGTACTCTGGGAGGCAGTAGATGGTCTCAGGTGGATGGGTGCCTTCCATCCATCTGGGAGACCTGGACAGAGTTCTAGGTTCTTTCTTTTCCTGGTTCAGGCCTGATCCAACCCTGGCTGATGCAGGCTTTAGGGGAGTGAACCAGCAGGTGGAAGATTGCCTTTCATCTGTCTGCCTTCCAAATTAAAAAAATGAAATGAAAGAAAAGTTGTTCTGTTTTGGTTTCTACCTTTCTGAACAAATTTATTACTTTGTCATTATAGTGTACATATGAAGATTGAAGAAAAGATCACACTGACCTGTGGACGAGATGGAGGATTACAGAATATGGAATTACATGGAATGATCATGCTTAGGATCTCAGATGACAAATTTGGCCGAATTCGTCTTCATGTGGAAAATGAAGATAAGAAAGGGGTGCAACTACAGGTGTGTGGAGTCTTCAGATTCAGAATCTTTAAGATAGCTAGTGCAAGATCTAGCACAATCTTAGCTAGAGTCTTTTTGTTTTTACCAGAGAACACAGAAAATTATTTGTGTGATGTAGCTAGTGCCAGTCTGCCATGAAATAGGAGACCTGGTAAAGCTGTTGGCTTCATCCTGGACCAGCCCTGGTCATTGCAGCTATTTCAGGAGGGAACTTTGTCCCTCTGCCTTCCAAATAAATTAATTAATTAAAAAAATTTTGAAGTTGTAGTAATTGGAGTAGGTGTTGTGGTGAAGCAAATTAAATAAGTACTTGGAATGTCTGTATCCCATAGACTGAATTCAAGTCATTGCTACTTTGTGCTTGCCCTTTTTTTGTCTTTAATTTGAAAGAGAGGTCTTTCATCTGCTGGCTCACTCCCCAAATGTCCACAACAGGCAGGGCTGGATCAAGCTGAAGGTAGGAGCCAGGAGCTTTTTTGGGGTCTCTCACATAGGTGGCAGGACCCAAGCACTTGGACCATCCTGTACTGCGTTCCCAGGTGCATTAGCAGGGCACTAAGTTGGAAGAGGAGCACCTGGGACTTGAATCAATGCCCCTGTTGGTTGCTGTTGTCAGAGGCAGCAGCTTTTCCTGCTAAAGCCTCTAGGAGGCAGCAGATGATGGCCCAGGTCCCTTGGGTCCCTAGCACCTGAATGGAGTTACTGGCTCCTGACTTTGGCCAGCCCAGCTGGGACTGTTGCAGGCCCCAGGCAACATTTAACTGCTGTACCCAACACCTGTCTTCCAGTGGTTTGTGTCCTGTCTACTGTGTCTGAACTTCTGAAGTTTCTCTTTTCATTTCAGACCCATCCAAATGTGGATAAAAAGCTTTTCACTGCAGAGTCCCTAATAGGATTGAAGAATCCAGAGAAGTCATTTCCAGTCAACAGTGACGTAGGGGTGCTAAAGTGGAGACTACAAACCACAGAGGAATCTTTTATTCCTCTGACAAGTAAGTGCCTCTGGCTTGCTTCACTAAGCTAGTATGTGTAGAAATCTAGAAATAGTCCTGGCTGTTTGCTATAGCAAAGTTCTTTTTGACGAAATGACCTTTTTTCATCAAAATAAAAAAAGAATTATACCAACATTGTGGCCTAGCAGGTAAACCCATCTGGTTTGTGTCCCAGCTGCTCCACTTCTGAACTAACTGCCTGCTAATGACCTAGAAAAAGCAGTAGAAGATGGCCCAAGTACTTAAGGACTCAAAAGAAACTCCTGGTTTTGGCTTGGTCCAGTGCTGGCCACTGCAGAAATCTGGAGAATGAGCCAGTGGATGGAAGACCTCTGTCTCTCTCATTCTCACTGGAAACCAAATAAATAAATCTTATTAAAAACCCAGAGTTTCATTAGGATCACTATTTTAGATGTGTAGATTATGGGCCATGTAAGCTTCAAGGGACTTTGAAATTAGATTTAGTATGTAATCATGTTAATTTTTAATATTTTCAGTTTTAAAAATTGTTTAAATATAATTCAGATTAAAATGTTGTTAGACCTGACGCTGTCAGTACGATTTCATTTGCTTTCTGAACTTGCATGCACTCTTGTACTAATAGAGAATGACAACTTTGTTTTCCTCCTCAGTTAACTGCTGGCCTTCAGAGAGTGGAAACGGATGTGATGTCAATATAGAATATGAGCTACAGGAAGATAATTTAGAACTGAATGATGTGGTTATCACCATCCCACTTCCGTAAGTGATGTCTTCCACATAATTGTGATCCTTACATTGGACGTATAGGACTGTGTTTTGGAGCTCCTTTTGGAAGCAGCTCCTGGCTGGCTATCTATGACTTTCTGGAAAGGACAACAGTACTCTAGGAATGGGAGTTGGGTGAGAGAGAGGAAAGTACTAGGTGACCAGGACACAAGGGGACGGTGAGGGATGACTTAAATGTTTTATGACTTGATTATGATATTTGCAAGACTATCTACCTTTGTCAAATGGATTGGACTATACATTTTGGAAGGGGTAAGTTTTGCTTACTTTCAAGCCAAATCAAAAACCGATTTCTTTTTTTTTTTTTTAAAAGATTTATTTTTTTAATTTTTATTGGAAAGGCAGATATATACAGAGAGGAGAGACAGAGAGGAAGATCTTCCGTCCGATGATTCACTCCCCAAGTGAGCGCAACGGCCGATGCTATGGTTCCATGTTTGTATTTTCAGATGTTGATCCTCAGCTTGTTCATGTAATAATGAAGATGTCCAGAAGGAGGAGCCACTTGCCAGTCAAACTTTGTCCATTTTGACAGTTTTCAAAATTAAGTTTATTAAATTTTTTTTCAGTTGCTCTATAAATTTTCATTAAAATTGACAGTGTGTAGAAAAAAATGACAGTATGTAGTGAAGGAAACTGTTGATTTTTTTTTAAAGATTTATTTATTTTTATTACAAAGTCAGATATACAGAGAGGTGGAGAAACAGAGAGGAAGATCATTCCCCAAGTGACCGCAATGGCCGCTGCTGCACCAATCTGAAGCCGGGAACCAGGAAACTCTTCCAGGTCTCCGACACAGGTGCAGGGTCCCAAAGCTTTGGGCCATCCTCGACTGCTTTCCCAGGCCACAAGCAGGGAGCTGGATGGGAAGTGGGGCTGCCAGGATTAGAACCGGCGCCCGTATGGGATCCTGGTGTGTTCAAGGCGAGGACTTTAACCACTAGGCCACGCCGCCGGGCCCGAAACTGTTGATTTTTATCAAAACAAGATATTTTCATTTGAGTAAATTTTCTGATAGCTTTATTAAGGTATGTACTTCATGTAGTAAACTACACGTATTTAATTTATGTAGTTGAAGTTTTAACATATGTAGATCTGTGAAGCCATCAGCACAATCAAGGTAACAGAACTGTCTGTCACTCTGAAAAATTCAGTTCTGTGTTTTTGTTGTGCACTCTTGGCTTACGAGGCATCTCTGGAAATCTGCTTTATCCTCTCAGTAGCATTTCCACTAAGTGTTCACTGTTCATCAGTGAGTTCCCAGTTCATATCACCTGTCAAGCTTAACTGTGATCAGCTGTAAATGTATTCTTAGTGCATCTTCACTGATATGCTGCTTCCGTGCACACAGTGGCACCTGATATGGCACTGGTGGAGGGTGTAATCAATGAAATTCACCCTTTCCTGCACCTGACTGCTTGGACTCTACTGCTGCTCAGTGTCAGATTAAATAAATCAACAGGACAGGCATTTTTATGACTGGGTTCACCTCCTGAGTTCTTGATGAGCTCCCCTTCCTACCTGGCTACCAGTGGAGCTTTAATTGTCTGTTGCTGCCAGGGTATCTCATCACTGCAACACCACTTGCTGTTTCTGCTGCTTGCTTGTGTCCAAGGGTCTCCAAGTGTCCCTCTGCTATTGGCCTGCCCTCTTTGCTCTGCAGAAAAATAGTCTGTTTAGAGGGACCCTCCACCTGCATCCCTGGCATCCCATATGAGCACTGGTTTAAATCTCAACTGCTCCACTTCAAGTCTGGCTCTCTGCTTATGGCCTGGGAAAGCAGTGGAGGATAGTCCAAAGCCTGGGGACCCTGCACCAGTGTGGGAGAGCTGGAAGAAGCTCCTGGATCTTGGCTTCAGATCAGATCAGCTCCAGCCATTGCAGCCACTTGGAGAGTAAACAGCAGACAAAAGAGCTTTCTCTTTGTATCTCCATCTCTCTACATCTGGCTTTCTAACTATTTTTAAATTAAATCAATTAAATGATTTAAAATTTTATTTTAAAATTAATTTGGTGGGAGAAAAACAGTGACAGAGAGGAAAAGAAGTCTTCTACCTTGATTCACTCCCCAAATCCCTTCATCAGCCATAGCTGGGCCAGACCTAAATCAGAAGCCGAGAATTCCATCAGGGTCTTTCAGGGACCCAACTACTCCATCATTTTCTGTTGCTTCCACAGTAGATGATCCGGAAGCTGGATCGGATGCAGAATAGCTGAGACTGGATCCCAAGAACTATGCTATGGAAATACAGGCATCCCAAGGAGCTGTTTAACTTGCTGTGCCAAATGCCTGACCCTTTGTTCCATTTTTTGATAATTCAAAGCTTTACAGATTTAGGTTTGTCAGATAAGGGTTTGTTTAAGATTTATTTCATTTGTGTGAAGGAAAGAAGGAGAAATCTTCCGATTACTGGTTCATCCCGCAAATGGCCGCAGTGACCAGGGCTGGGCCACGCCAACGCCAGCAGCCAGGAGCTTCATAGGTCTCCCACGGGGTTGCTGGGACCCAGGCACTTAGACTCCTGCATTGTTTTCCCAGGCACACTTATCAGGGAGCGGTATCACAGACAGGCATCCATATGGATGTCAGCATTGCAGGCGGTGGCTTAACCTGTCTTACATAGACTGGCCCCCAAATATGGTTTTTTAGTCACTCTTCTGTTTTTTTTTTGTTTTTTTTTTTAATAGGCTTATCAAAAAGTAACCATCTGGGCCCAGCATGATAGCATAGTGGTTAAGTCCTCGCCTTGAATGTGCTGGGATCCCATATCCCGGCAGCCTCACTTCCCATCCAGCTCCCTGCTTGTGGCCTGGGAAAGCAGTCAAGGACCGCCCAAAACCCTGAGACCCTGTATCCACATGGGAGACCTAGAAGAGCTCCTGGCTCCTGGCTTCAGATTGGCTCAGCTCCAGCCATTGTGACTGCTTGGGGAATGAACCATTGGACCGAAGATCTTCCTCTCTGTCTCTCCTCTTCTCTGTATATCCGCCTTTCCAATAAAAAAAAAAAAATCTTTAAAAAAAAAAGAGGGAGGGTAACCATCTTAGTCTGTACAGTTTAGTAACTCTTTCAGAACACTTTATGGCTGCCTTCAAGTATTGTAGGATTTGGATGTTCGTGACAGGTAGGGTATTGTTTGTCAGGATTTATTTTACAAGATTATTTTTAGGATGCCACAATTTTTAGGCTTCTCCATCTACCCCATAATTGTGGTTATAGTGGCTTCCTGTGTCTTAGTTCAGTTTTGGAATAGTCGCCAGAAGAGACTGCTAGCATTTTACTCCATTGTCTAACACTGCTTGAACAGGACAAGAGTTTGAGCAAGAGCAAAGAGAAGGAAAATAAAAAATCTAGGACATTAAAATCAATAGGAAAGAGTTAACATATTCTTATGCCACCGTAAGGTTTTGTCTCCGTTATTTACTCTGCCCCTAAACAAGCCTTCATTGTCACTGGTGAACTAAAGCATGGTAAATTTAGAACGTGTAGGAGTAGGTGACACTGCTTGTGAGCCCTGTGTGGGGGTGCTAAGTACATCCTAACCAGCCGGCTTCTCTTGCAGATTGAGGGCACTTCACTTACTTCTTTCTCCTAACGAGTTCCTTCTGTTTTGCCCAGGGGTAATTGTGCTTTCACCTACCACAGTTCACTTGTTACATTGTAAATCAAATAAGTCCACTGGTGTTGACCTCAGTATGTCTCGAGTCTTTTGAAAATACATCTTAAAGGCTTGTATTGATCTCCTTTGTTAATACTTAAGTTCTTCCTTAATATAATGGACCTGCTTTTTCTTCTGGTGTCATGTATGAGGTGAATTAAAATCCTTCTTGAACGTGTGGCAAATTATTAATGCAGGATTTTTGAAAATATACCCAGCTCACATGTTTGTCACTATCCATCCTCTGCTAACTCCCAGGTCTAGTCTGTAAATTGAAACAGTCCACAGGCATACTTGTTGAGCATTGTATTTGCATGTATCTTTCCATAAAAAGAATTGAGTGAAACCTTGAGTCAGGGTGCTAGGTCTTTTATCTTTCAAGTTATTGGGAAGCCTCATTTTTTTTTCTAGAACTGCACAGAAATTGCAATTCTAGAGGCAAAATTTCAGGAACATAATCACATTTGGGATTGATTTTTCTTGGTAGAGTTCTAGCTATGTCAGTTAACTTGACTGGATGCTTTCTCATGACAGGTCTGGTGTTGGTGCACCTGTGATTGGTGAGATCGATGGGGAATATCGACATGACAGTCGACGAAATACCTTGGAGTGGTGCCTGCCAGTGATTGATGCCAAAAATAAGAGTGGCAGCCTGGAGTTTAGCATTGCTGGGCAGCCCAATGACTTCTTCCCTGTTCAAGTTTCCTTCATCTCCAAAAAGAATTACTGTAACATACAGGTAACTCATTCTAATAGAGGGCATATATAGAAGGAGCCATAGGGCAGGTACCAGGTAGAAAAGAGGGCTTCGTAGTGCAGAAATCAGAAAAGCTGGTGTCCCCAGATAACTCCGCTTCTTACTTGTATGATCATGCCCACATCAGTTTTCCTCTCTAGATCAGAAGAATTCAGTGTGCTTCTGTGTGAAAGTACTTACAGATGATGCAACATGCAAGATCTATTTTATTTATTTGAAAGAGTTATATAGAGGAGTCTGGCATGATGGCTCAATTGGTTAATTCTCCCCCTATAAGCGCCAGGATCCTTTATGGGCATCAGTTCGTTTTTCACTCTGCTCTGCTTCCCATTCTACTCTGCTTCGGGCCTGGGAGGCAGTAGAGGATGCCCCAAAGCCTTAGGACCCTGCCCCTGTGTGGGAGACCAGAAGCTCTAGGTGTCTGGCTTCAGATCGGCTTAACTTGAGCTGTTGCGGCCACTTGAGGAGTGAACCAGCAGATCAAAGATCTTTCTCGCTGTTTCTCCTTCTCTCCATAAATTTGATCTGCCTTACCAATAAAAGTAAATCTTTTTTTAAAAAAAAAGAAGAAGAAGAAGAAGAAAAAGAGTTACAGAGAGTGAGAGATCTTCTGTTCACTGCTTCACTCTGTACATGACTGCTTGGCCAGGGCTGGGCTAGGCCGAAGCCTGGAGCCTGGCACTTCATTCTGGTCTCTATGTTGGTTTAAGAGCCCAAGGACTTAAATAATTTTCTACTGCTTTCCCAGGTGCATTAACAGGGAGCTGGATTAGAAATAGAGCGATCAGGACTCAAAATGGTGCTCCTGTGAGATAATGGCACTGCAGGTGACAGCTGACTCTTCCCTGTCACTGCAACTATCCCAGTTTCCTCTTTTTTAAACTCTTATGTTAGAAAATTTTTTTTGCCTAAACACTTTTGTCATTTGATTTGTCCCCAAGCGGCCGCAACAGCCAGAGCTGAGCCGATCTGAAGCCAGGAGCTTGGAGTCTCTTCCGAGTCTCCCACATGAGTACATGGTCCCAAGGCATTGGGCCGTCCTCGACTGCTTTCTCAGCCCATAAGCAAGGAGCTGGATAGGAAGCAGGGCTGCCGGGATTAGAACCAGTGCCTATATGGGATCCTGGTATGTTCAAGCAAGGACTTTAGTTGCTAGGCTACTGCACAGGGCCCGATAAATCTTTTTTTTTTTTTTTTTAAAGATTTATTTTTATTATTTTTTTATTGGAAAGGCGGATATACAGAGAGGAGAGACAGAGAGGAAGATCTTCCGTCCGATGATTCACTCCCCAAGTGAGCGCAACGGGCCGATACTATGCCGATCCGAAGCCAGGAGCCTCTTCTGGGTCTCCCACGCGGGTGCAGGTTCCCAAAGCTTTGGGCTGTCCTCAACTGCTTTCCCAGGCCACAGGCAGGGAGCTGGAAGGGAAGCGGGGCTGCCGGGATCAGAACCGGCACCCATATGGGATCCCGGGCGTGCAAGGTGAGGACCTTTAACCACTTGCGCCACCGCGCCGGGCCCCGATAAATCTTTTTTTAAAAAAAGAAGACCAGGGTCCTGCGGCGTGGCCTAGCGGCTGAAGTCCTCGCGTTGAACACACCGGGATCCCATATGGGCGCCAGTTCTGATCTTGGCAGCTCCACTTCCCATCCAACTCCCTGCTTGTGGCCTGGGAGAGCAGTCGAAGACGGCCCAAAGCTTTGGGACCCTGCACCCACGCAGGAGACCCAGAAGTTCCTGGCTCCTGGCTTCAAATCGACATAACACCAGCCGTTGCAGTCACTTGGGGAGTGAATCATCCGATGGAAGATCTTCTCCTCTGTCTCTCCTCCTCTCTGTATATCTGACTTTGTAATAAAAAATAAATATATCTTAAAAAAGAGAGAGAGAGAGAGAGAGAAGACCAGATGAATAATGTTGGAAATTATAACATTGAATTTGGGGCCCAAGTATTAATTGATCATCTGGGTAGACCTGTAAATCTTCATTGGTTTCCTAAGGTCTGGTGGCTGCAGGTCATTGTGGAGCTTTGCCATCAGCACTGCTCTGTATCTCACCCCAGCTCTTACCGTTTGGCTAGAGCAGAATGATCATGTTAGTGAAAAAGTGATACCGCGAGCTGCAGTTCTGAATTGAACACATTTTAATATTTCTAAGTTGTTTTTTAATTCTGCTTTTCAGGACTTTGTTCTGTAATAATAATTTAGCTAGAATCTTGGAAACTCAGCCTCCTTTCCCTGACTCTCTCTCCCTTCCTAGGTTACCAAAGTGACCCTGGTGGATGGAAACAGCCCCGTGAGATTTTCCACAGAGACCACTTTCCTAGTGGATAGGTATGAGATTCTGTAACATGAAGAAGAGGGAACAGAAAAGAAAAATTGTCGAATAAAGAAGAAGCTGACAGTGGCTGAAGAGGTTTCCCAAATGTAGAGCCATTGGAGACCCTTGTTTTCTGATCCAGTGCTCGACTGCGCGCAAGGACCCTCAACTCGCCCCCCGTGTTTCAGTGTCACGGAGACGTTCTTTGACAGAGAAATGACACAGACACAAGGGAAAGGCTGCTGATTTCTTTGGCAGATGTTTCTGGCCAGCAAGAAAGCAAATTCTCCAGAGAATGCCCCTAATTAAATGCCACCTCTGCATTCGCCCTAAGCTTGCTCCTTTATTTTAATCTCTAAGTATAGGTCCATTTCATGCTTTGTTTTAAAAAAAGTTTTCTTTGTAGAAGATTTTAATCTTTCATTTTTTACCTCCAGTGTTTTCTTTGCATACATTCAATCAAGCACTGGGATCATCTGTATTTGGACACTATAGTTGTCTGGCACTCCTGGAACAAGTTTAACCCATTCTTGATTTTTGGACTATATACAGGTGAACTGCATTAGGAGATTGAGTTGTCTTTTGGCATTTTTCAATATGCATTCATCTCTCCATTTGCCAGGTTTTCCTGTTAAGTCTCGTCCCTCCAGTTGTCAATATTAAAGATAACTGAGAAGTAGCTTTCAAATGACACAATCCTCTCAAAGATGTTTTAGAGAAGAATAGTTATGTTCATTTCGGGACACCCACTGCAATCATGTTGCCTCCTGGTGCTACCCAGGCTTGCAGTTCTCCGCATTTTAGATACTTACACTGAAACATGCTAGTTCAGTCTTTGTAACCCAAGCACATTCCTCAAGTTTACCACTTGGTTGCTCTGTCATCAGTCCCCTCCTTGCCAGCAGAAATGAGATTATGATTTAGAAGGCTGTGGGTTTGGGGAGTTCCTGTACCAGTCCCATTGGCCCTGAACCAACAAAGAAACTCCATTTCTACCACTAGCTTTGTAGCATTTCAAGAGACAGATGATTCTATTGCTGTGCAGCGATTACCCGTATATATTCCTTTTTTTTTTTTTCTAGCCTGCCTGACATTTTCCACCTGTCTCCTCCTGTCTTGGAGCTTCTTTCTTTTCCTCCCCACTGAATATCATCGTGTGGTGGTGGCTTCTTAGCTCTAGCTCATCCATTCCTTTTTCAATCAGCCAGCCCAGCCTTGTTCTTCAGGCCAGTATTGCACTTAACAAGGGTAGAGAAAGGATTGCTAGGAGGCTGTAGTGGGCAGACATGGTGCATTGGACCTCCCACACCCCTGTCCTGCTGGAGAGTGCCACTCCCATTGAGCAGCCTGTGGTCCTCCTGCAGAGGATGCTTCGCTGGGAGCACAGCAGCTGCACACCCGGCCAGGGATGGAACTGCTTGCCAAAGAAATGTCTGGCCTTTCCCTTTCCCTAATACATCAGGAAGAATCCTTATCTCTAATTTGGTTTCCACACAAGATCTTTCTGAGGAAGGGAATTGGAAAAAGAAGTCTGTCAGGTAGTTAAGTAGGCAAGATATCTCTTATTAATCCATTTTTGTTGAGAGTTCCTTGTCCATATGATTTTTTAAAGTTTAATTTCATAAAAACTTTTTGTTCTGAAATTACTTTTGGGGTAATATTTAAAATGAGAAGTTTTGTAACCCTGTAAAATATATAGGGAATATAACATTCCAGTGTACACAGAGAAGGCAAATTCTTTAATCAAATAAAGCATATTATAAAATGAGATGCTTATTGGACTCTTGACTCACACTAAGATGGCTCCTGACTCAGGATACTGTGATGGGATCTAAGATGAAAAATTAATGAGACTTTTTAAAATAAGGTTTAAGTATTTTTATTGCAAAGTCAGATATACAGAGAGGAGGAGAGACAGAGAGGAAGATCTTTCATCCGATGGTTCACTTCCCAGGTAACTGCAGTGGCTGGAGCTAAGCCAATCCGAAGCCTGGAACCAGGAGCTTCCTCCAGGTCTCCCATGTGGATACAGGGTCCAAAGGCTTTGGGCCGTCTTCGACTGCTCTCCCAGGCCACAAGCAGGGAGCTGGATGGAAAGTGGGGCTGCTCCTGTGACTAGAACCAGCGACCATATGGGATCCCGGCACATTCAAGACGAGGACTTTAACCACTACACTATCACGCTGGGTACAATACTTTAAAACAGATTTATTCATTTGGGGTTAGCACAATAGCCTGAGGACTAAATTGTTGCCCTGCAAGTTCCAGGATCCCATATCTGTACTGGTTCTAATCCCGGCTGCTCTACTTCCCATCCAGCTCCCTGCTTGTGGACTGGGAAAGCAGTCTAGGACAACCCAAAGCCTTGGGATGCTGGACTTGTGTGGCAAGCCCAAGGTAAATTAAATAAATAATAAAATTAATAATGAACAAATAATAAACATCTTATTGGAAAGTGAGACTTAGAGAAGGATCAACAGATTTGTCTGCTGGTTTACTCCCCAAGTAGCCACAATGGCTGGAGCTGATCTGGCCAGGAGCCAAGAGCTTTCCCTCAGGCTTCCCACTCGAGTCCAAGGTCCCAAGGCCTTGGGCCAACTTCGGCTGCTTTCCCAGGCCACAAGCAAGGAGGTGGATGGGAAGCAGGGTTGCTGGGATTAGAACCTGTTCCCAGATGGATCCCAGCGCATGCAAAGGCAGGATTTAGCCACTAGACTACCACGCTGGGTGGAGGAACTAAGGCTTTTATGTTGTAGCCTTTAGAGGGGTGAAAGTGAATGCTCTGTTCCAGCGTGGTGGCCTAGCGACTAAAGACCTCGCCTTGAACCTGTGTGATCCCATATGGGCACTGGTTCTAATCCCGGTGGCTCTGCTTCCCATCCAGCTTCTGCTTGTGGCCTGGGAAAGCTGTTGAGCACGGCCCTAAAGCTTTGGGTTCCTGCACCTGCATGGGAGATCTGGAGGCAGTTCCTGGCTCCTGGCTTCAGATCAGCTCGGCACTCGCCATTGCAGTCACTTCAGCAGTGAATCATTGGACGGAAGAGCCTCCTCTCCGTATATCTGATTTGCAGTAAAAATAAATCTTTTTAAAAAATGAATGCTCTGAATTGATCCCCCTCTTTACTGTCATTGCAACCATTCTCCCCACCCCCATTCCCTCTTGAGCCTTTCAGTAACTGTGACTTGAGCTGCTCCCAGTGTGAAAGGAGCTGGGGTTATTGTCTTGCACTTTAAAGCCCCCGCCTGTATCACGGGTATCCCAGCTGCTCCACTTCTGGTCCAGCTCCCTGCCAATGGCCTGGGAAAGCAGTGGAAGACAGCCCCAGTGCTTGGGTCCCTACACTCACCTAGGAGACCTAGAAGAAGCTCCCAGTTCCTGGCTTCAGTCTATCTCAACCATGGCTGCTGCAGCCATAGTGTGGAGAGTGAACCAATGAAGATGTAACTCTGCTTCTTCCTCTAACTACATTTCAAATAACTTTTAAAAAAAAAAGTGTACTGTGTACTGTGACTACCCAAGGCAAACAGTATTTTTTGGGTGTCTAGCTGACTCTCTTTTTAGGTTTGTTGTATTTGAAGGAGTTACTTAGATAAAGAGAGATTTTCCATCCACTGTTCACTCCCTAAGTAGCTACAATGGCCAGAGCTGAACTGACCCAGGAGCCAAGAGCTTCTTCCAGGTCTCCCATGTGGATATTAGGTCTGAAGGCTCTGGACCATCCTCCAGTGCTTTCTCAGGCCATAAGCAGGGAGCTGGATAGGAAGTGGAACATCCTGTGGGGTACTGGCATTTGCAGGTAGAGATCTAGCCTGTTGAGCCACCACTTGGCCCCAGCTGGCTGATATTTTAGGCTGCAGAGTTAGTGATGGATAAGATGAGCCTTCAGAGAGGAAAAAAAAAAAAAAAAAAAAAAAGGACTACCTGACAAACACAAGAAATCTAGCTACCAGGAAGTTTTCAGAACCTTGGGCCACTCCTCATTCCCCACCAGGAAGGATGGTTTCTGCCTTGCAGTTCCTGTCAGTGGCTGCATGGGTTAGTCTAACTGCAGAAGGCTCCCCTGGGTCTACTTTGTGTGATTAGGTTGATTATCAAACTAGGACAGGTGCTGGTGTCTCAGACCAGCTCAAGTCTCAGCTGCTCCACTTCCCATCCAGCCCCCTGCTGATGTGCCTGAGCACTTGGGTCCCTGCCTCCCACATGGGAGACTCAGATGGAATCCCAAACCTTTGGGCTGGACCGACCCTGGCTGTTGGTGCCCATCCTTTCTTCTGCTCAAATGAATGTGTGTTGTTTCTCTAACTTGAATCATGAACTGATACAGGTGTACAAGACCAGTCTTCAACCTGAATTTCTCCCCAGTCTTGAGTGCATGCTAGCTTTGGGTGAAGGTATGCATGATGCAGTTTCCAAGGCCAGCTGAGAACTTCTGCTCCTTCGTAGCTAAGAAGGCTTGCACTCCTCCCCCTCCCCCAACCCTGTTGGACACAGGGAGGGATTAGCTTGATGTCATGGCTGCCACCACACTGACACTAATGAAGCCTAAGGTCCAAAGAAGGCAGAACTTTGGGAGAGGGTGTGTATCTTTGGGAACTGCAGGTTGGGGGATCATTTGTCGCCTCTTTCTGGAGTACAACTGGAGAGAGGCATAGAGAGTGTGCCAAGGTAAAGTCAGAAGGAGTGTGGAAATCCACTTGTGAGGTGCAGAGCCAAGTGCAGAGGGCCTCAAAAACAGGCACTCTTCCACACCCAGCCTTTGCCCTCTCCCGCTGCTTGCATTTCGGAAAGTCTGAAGCATGCCTGGAAAGCTGTTTGCCGCCCTCTTCTCATCCCCCCTCTCCACCCCTCCCCTGAGCTCCCAGCTGCTCGACCTCTTGCATAACAGAGCACTGAGTTTTTGATGGGCTCCAGATGTGGAGTGGGATGAGGGTGGAGGGAGGGGGCAGTAGGGCTCCACTCCCCTGAGTGCTCTAACTGTGGGAACCCAGAGGCTGGACACAGCAGGAGGGGACACATTGCACAGAGCCTTCGCCATGAGCTCCACGGCTTCCGGAGTTGTCAGGACAGTGGGAAAGGTTAGAGGCCATTTCAATCCCCCGGGGGCTGAGGCAGGCATAGGCTTAATTATTTTTTGAAGTCCCTCCTGGCCAAAACAGTAAAAAGGAGCTGGGATAGTAAAGCAGAATTTTAAGTTTCTAAGAGACTTCTAAGTCCCTTTTCTCCAATATTGGATGCTGGCATACAGGACAGAGCAGTTTGGGGACTGATATCTTCAGGTTTCCTGGTACGGTTTATGCTAGGAGCCTGATTTTTCCACCACCGCTGTAGGCAGCAGCAAAGCGTGCCCCCTCTCTCTTCCACTGCGTGACTGCAGCCAACCCAGCCGTGGGGGGCCGCCTGCTCACGCCAGCCCTGTCAATGAGTGACCAGAGATACCCGCAGTGCAACCTCCAGCCGTTCCGGAGTAAAGCCACTGAGAACAGGGTGTGACCATCCCAAACTGGATGCCTTATTCTCTGCTATCCCGCCTCCCCTACCCCCACACCACCCCCACGTCTCACAAGGTGGAGCCTGGGTCAGACCTGGTGATTTTCTGCCCCTCCTGTCTTCAAGGAGAAACAATCTCCCAGGTTTCACCAGCACAGGTTAAAAAGGCCCAGTCTCGCAGATGGAGCTCCCTTGAACTGTCCCCAGCCGGTCTCCTGGGAGGAGAGCTGGCTTTGCAAGGTGAGGATTCGCTGTCAGCGTCGGGTTTCCTGGTGGGAGTTGTGAGAGGAGGACATCAGCGGGTTAGAGCACTGCCTTCCCCGGTACCTTCTCTGTGTTGCTGTGGGATGCTGCGCTCTAGAGCCTGCCTCCCAGGTGCATCTGCTTCTCAGCAGGTGGGAGCTCTCCCGGGCCACACACACTTTCACGTGCCCTCTCGGCTCATTTCCAAGGCCGCTGCTTCCTGGTGAGGGCTTGGAACAGGGTGAAGAGGAGGAGGAAGGAATGGGGCAAGGTCAGTGTCCCCTCTGCAGATGTTCTGGAACAGATGTTGAAAGTGCCGTTCCCTGGGAGCCCTGGAGGCTCCAAGCAGCTAAGGCGAAAAGGTAAATAATCCAAGGGAGGGGTGCAAGCTGACTGTCCCCAACAGCTCCTTGAGAGGAGCCTCAAAACCTTGGGTGGAGGGTGGTCTGGGAGAGTCCGGCGCGGAGAGGGTGGAGTGTGTATGTGTGTGTGGTGCGCAGGGTGGTGCAGAGCCCAGCTGTGGGGACGAACAAAGCGGGCGCTGTGCAGGCGGGGGGGGGGGTGCTGCTGTGGGAAAGGGTGGGTGGGGGGACCTTGGACTGCAGCCCCACAAGGGCGTCTTCTCTGGCTAGCCAGGCCGGCCGGGACGGGGGTGGAGGCGGGGACTGGGGGGGGCGGGACAGGCTCGCTCTCCTCCTACTCAGCGAGCTCCCAGGGAAAAGCAACAGTGTCCTCCTGAGCCCGAGGCCGCCGCGGCCCAGCCGAGCCAAGAGACCCCGGTGTCTCCCCCTTACAGCACACACACCTACCAAACCCGGCCCCGGTGAAGGGCACCCCCTCCCCTGGCGTTGGCGGGGGTCCCATTCGCTGCACCTCTGCGCCTGGGCCAGGCGAAGCCGCGGGCCCGGCCAGAGTCCTCAGCTCAGCGTTGGGCCTGGGGGCTCGGAAGAAACCCGCACAGGAAGAGGGCCACCGCAGGTGAGTGTGCAGGCGCAGGCGACCACAGGGCCGGGCACGCCCAGGCGGCTGGCTTTTGCCCCCCTTGACTCGCCGCCAGGGGGGGCCCTCGCGCGCTCACCCCCACCCCCTCCCCCGGAGGGACACTTGCCAGGGTCTCTCGGGTGTCGTGCGCGAGCGGGGCCTCGTCCTGCAGGGCCCCACCCCTGCCTCTCTCCGCCATCAGCGGGACCCCCGGGTGGTGGTGGTGGGGGGCTCCCCGGCTTGCCTCCTGGAAGGACAGGAAAGACGTGGGGGGAGCGGGGCCGGGGGAGTCCGGCTCGGAGACACGATGGGGAGCTTGGGGGTGTGGGGTCTGGAAGTGTCCAGGAGGTGGGCAGCGCACCTGGGGCCTGCCAGGCACTCCTCCAGGCTCCACGTCTTTAGGGCCCGGAGGCCGCATGGGACACATTGGAAAAGTGAGTCGCAGGCTCTGGTTCCACAACAGCGCGCGGTCTGGGTTTGAATCCCCAGCGGAGTTCCCCGGAGCCGAGGCTCGGCCAAGTCATCGGGCTCCCCCGGGGGATGGGGAAGTGCTGGCGGGCGGCGGGGAGGGTGGGAGCTGCCGGGCGCAGGGTGGTTGCCGAGCAGCCCCACGACGCTTCCGGCGAGGCAGCCGCGAGCGGGGGACTTGGCCCGGCCACCGCGGCCGGCGTAGGAGGGATCCAGGGCGCCGGGGCGGAGCCGCATTCTGGGCCCGTTAGCTCAGCCGTCGCAGTGGCTCCCTAGGCTGACTCACCGGACAGCGGGCTCACCCGCAGCGGTCACACGAACACGCTCCTTACTGCGTGCGGCCCTCCCCCTGCAGCCGCTCCTTCCTCGGCGCGCCAGCCTCACACATACACACCCCAGCACCAGGTCCCGGGGGACCCCGACCCCATTCCGCCCTGAAGAACCCGTGCGTGTGGCACACGCAGCCCCTCTCCGTGCTGCAAGCGGGCGGGCGTCTGTGGGGCAGCCCTTCCCCCCTCCTATTTTTTTTTTTTTTTTTTTTAATTTGCCCCTGGAGCAAACAAGCGGCTCCTTCTCCCCGCCGGCCCAAAAAGAAAAGGCCGCTTGTCCGGCCGTCAGGGGCGGGCGGGTGGGGCTGCGCAACACTGACGCCTTGTCCCACTCGCGGCGGTTCCCGGAGAAGGGGGAGCAAGGGCCGCTTTCTAGCGGGGATCGCACTTGGCCTGGCCGCTTCGGATGAGTGCACCTTTCCGGCACCCCATCAGACGGAACCCCGATCACAGGCACGCACTCCGGGCCACCCGCCTTGCCTCCGGCTCCATCCCTGGGCCTTCTGGTCGACTCCCCCGTCCGTTCCCTCTCGCCGAGGACCCCCTGCCCCTAGCCTTTGCTCCCCGGTTCACATCCCTGTGCCTCCAATTCCTCGCCTGTTCGCTCTTCAGGCCCCCTTTCTTTTCCTTGCTTTTTTTCCGCCGCATTAATTTTCCTAGTCCTTGAGTAGTCTCCGCCCCTGGGCCTTAGGAGTCCCACTCCGGCCCCCGTCCGGCTCGGACGTCCCGCCCGCTGGGCTCCCAGCCTCAGTTTCCTTCCCGTCCTGGCTCCTTCCTCAAGGGCGGATGTGCGCCGGGCAGCCGAGACCTTCCCAGCTCGGCCCCGCAGGCCGCCGGCCACAGCCATGCGCCGCCCGGGGCGAGGCTTCGGTTGGCCCCCCAGGACTCAGGTGAGGGACCGAGCGACCCGCAGACGCTCTCGGGGAGCTGACCTTTCTTCCTGGGGCTGGCTTTGTACCTTTCCCCTTAGGCCATGGAGGTCTTTGGGCTTGTTGGCTCACTTTGGGCCTCTGTCCACCCTCACACGGGAGCAGAGATCCCCGGGGGACACTCAGCTCTCCGGAGAGGGCTGGGAACTGCTATCCGTGTGGCGCAGGTGCAGGAGCGCTCTCGCCGGGCGTGGAGACCGGATGGTTCGGGGTCGCACCTTCCAGTCCCGGTCTGGGCTGGCCGCACTCGGGGGTCCGTGCCTGTCGCTCATCCCATCTAGACACCCAGACCTCCGCCACTCTGCTCCCAAATGGGCGCTGGGGCGCTGCTGCTCTACTTCTGCGCTGCAGGACCAGAGCCTGCACAGCTGGGACATGGCGGGGTGGGGTGAGGGGCGCAGCTGAGCTAGCTGGGATTTTCGTAGGTCACCCCGGCGGGGAGGGGGCCCGAGCGGGCTGGGTGGGTAGTTAGGATTCCCGGGAGTGGGCGGAAGATACTGGGGAGTAGGGGACAAGAGACCAGTGGATGCAGACGGTCAGTCGGTCAGCAGTACCCTCACTCCGCGCTCAGGTTGGGGTCCGAGAGCAGAGGGCGCCGCCAAGTGGCGGCTCTGCGGCACCTGCGTGCCGGGCCAGGCTGGTCAGGTGCCTCCACTGTGCCTGGATTAGGTTTCCGGGCTGGGACCAGTGGCTGGCACCTCCCGATCTCTCCATCTTTTCTTATCTCCTGCCCACACCTCTCCTTATCTCTCCCTCTCCTTTCACCTCCTTATTTCCCTCTCTGCGTTCCTCTAGCACTATCGTTCCCCATCAACCTTGTTCCTTTACAATCTTTATCCCCACTTGAAGTCCTTGGGCTGGCAGATACTTGAGCATGCCCACAGCTGCCTCTCCTCTCACAGGTGACTAGACTGAGATCTGGGCCCCAGAACTGCCTCTCAGAGTCCCGCAGCTGGTAGTCATTGGTGTGTTCACAGCATTTGACACTTCAAGGGTAATACTGAATATAGTACCTGAATCTCCAGGGAGCCCCATCAAAACAACAAATAGCTTTATAGATGGCAAGATCCACCCAATTTAAGTATGCCATTCAGTGACTTACTCTATTTACCGAGCTGTGCAACTCTTATACGCTAATCTTAATTTTGAAAAATGTTTCAAGGCAGAGAGATCTTCCAGCTGACAGTTCTCTCCCTAAGTGCCTACACTAGTCTTTGTTGGGCCAGGTGGGAGCTGGGAGCCTGGAACTCAATCCAGAGTCTCACATGGGGGTGGCAGGGAGTCGAGCACTTTGGGCCATCACCTGCTACCTCGTAGGGTGTGCTTTAGCAAGATGCTGGAATTGAGAGTGAAGCCAGGGCCTCTTGATTGCTGAGCCATATGCCAGCCCCCACAATCTTAGAATGTTTCTTCTTCTTTTTTTTTAAAAGACTTATTTTACTTGAAAGGTAGATTTATAGAGAGAAGGAGAGACAGAAAGATCTTATATCTGCTGGTTCACTCCCCAAATGGCCACAACAACTGGAGCTGAGCTGATCTACAGCCAGGAACTTCTTCCAAGTCTCCCCACGTGGGTACAGGGGCCCATGAGTTTGGGCCATTCTCGCTTTCCCAGGCGATAAACAGGGAGCTGGATGGGAATAGAGCACTTGGGACATGATCGGGCACCCATGTGGGATGCTGGCACTTGCAGGGCGAGGATTAGTCAATAAAGCCATTGCACCAGACCCTAAAACGTTTCCATTACTCCCGAAAAGAATTCTATGCTCCTCTTTGAACCTTCAGCCTTAAGAGCTAGCACTGGTCAGTATTGCTGGGTTTTGTTTTCAGTTTTCTGGAAGAATGCCTTGACAGTCAAAGTTAAATATCTTGTCCACATCCTGCAGTTTCAAAAGTCAGGGTTGAAGTCAAAGCTCCTGACCACAGACGTGTCTCTTTCCTTCAGCACTATGATGACTTTTCTGATCCTCTTCTTTTGCATAAACATCCCATTCCCAACCCACGGGATCTGTCTCTCCTCCCACAGCGGAGGCAGAAGGATTTGCCCCAGGCTTAGGAGGGCAGTACAGCAGTCTCCATCCCTGGAAAGCCTTCCCCATGGCCCGGAATGCCTGGAGACGTGCCAGGCCAACTAGGGACCTGGTGTTAGGTTAACGGACTGCCTTGTCTTTGCCTGGGCGGCCTTGGGGTGGGCCTTGTTTTGGCCTCTCTTCCGCTAGCTTGGGTGGAAATGATGACGGAGGTGACGCAGTCCAAGCACGGAAGGGTGGAAGCCGGGAGGGTAAATATAGTAATTCCATGGACCAAGGCCCTGGAGAGCTGCTGCCAGACTAGGCTGTTCCTTGGAATGCTGGCTTCTCCCCACTTTCTTTCCAAGTCACCTTGGAGGTGGCTGCAAGACAGAAAGAAGGGAAACCCTGCAATCCTGGGGCTGCCTCGTAGCTTCCTTTACACACTCCTCCTCTTTGCCAGGAACATTTTAGCAGCACTTGGCCAAGGGGTGGACATGTATGCACTTAGAGGTTCTGACGCATTTCTCAGCTATACCAAGGCAGAAGCCAGGGAGAGATGGAAAAAAAAAAATCCTGTGAGCAGAATTCACCTGGTGACTTTAAAGTCCACACCTTCCCTTGGTTCTCTGGGCCCAAGCTTTCTAGAGTACTGGACCCAAAAAGGTGTGTGCTCCTAGTGCTGGTCACCCCCTGAGAGTTTTTTTTTTGTTTTTTTTAATTATTTTTGTTTGAGTTACGGAGAGGAAAGAGATTGAGAGATCTTCCATCTGCTGGTTTACTCCCCAGATGGCCAAGACAGCCAGGAGCTTCCCCCATGTGGGCCCAAGGACTTGAGCCATCCTCTGCTGCTTTCCCAGGCCATGAGCAGGGAGCTGGATGGGAAGTAAAGCAGCTGGGACACAAACTGGCGCCCACATAGGATGCTGGTGTTGTGGGCGGAGGAGTAACTTGCTCTGCCGCAGTGCTGGCTCCCACCGTTTGGTTTTTAGCTGAATGTGTTGGGGTGCGGTTGCTTTCTAGGAAGGGAAGGGTGTAGGAGTAGACATCCAGGGATGGCAGGGCTGACTACCCCCATCTCAAGGTCGGGGGCACATGCCCTGATGAGACTTGGGGAACAAAACAGAGGAGAGGATAGGTTGATGGGAGAGCTGCTTGCATGGGGAACCTCTGGCTCCCAAAGTCCTTAGAGGGGCTGCCCCACACTCTGTGTTTCCTGTAAGGGTTATTCCCACCTCCTGACTCGAGGCTCCAGGCGGTTGGTGGCCTTCAGTGGCCAGGGAGCATACAGAAGCACCGAGGTGCAGACTGGACTTGTGGTGACAAGGGCTAGGATTGGTGTGATTTCCAGGCAGTGATTGCAGGTGAGAAATTATCTGTCTGGGGCGCACCTACTCCTCCATGTTCCCTGCAGTTTTTCCCCCAGCAGGAGCTTGTTGAGACTGGTGGTGCCCTGCCCCGCCCCTCCTCCCACCCACCCAGAAGACACTACTGCTGCACCTGCTGCTTTGGGAGAGGTGGAGAGGGATGGCTTCTCCTGGTTTACTCCTCAGTTGTTCCAAAGAACCAGGACTGTATCTAGCTGAAGCCAGGAGCCACGTGCTCCATCCAGGTTTCCCACATGGGTGGCAGAGACCCACTCAGGCTCCTTGAGCCATCACGGCTGCTTCTTTAAGACTGTGCATTCGCAGGAAGTGGAGATCGGGGCCCAGAGCCAAGAATAGAACCTAGATGCTTAGCTATGGGATCTGGGTGTCTGGAATGTCATCCCAACTGCCAGGGTGAGCACTCGCCTCAAGAACACAGGGATTTTCCTCTTCTGCCTTGACCACCAAGCTTCCCCCTGCTTCTGCTGTGTCCCCAGGAACTTTGGAGCCCTAGGACCATGGATGCTCTCAACAGGAACCAGGGAGGCCCTGGAGGCAAGACCCAGGCAGTGGTGCAGGTGAGTAGGGGCAAGGCTGTGGAGCGAGAGACCTTGCAGTGAAGGTAGCTTTAAGCCATTCTTTTTTTTCTCCATTTAATTTTTTTTTTAACTTTTTCTCTTTTTTTAATTATTCATTTTTATTGGAAAGGCAGATTTGACAGAGACATAAAGATCTTCCTTGTGCTGGTTCACTCCTCAAATGACTGCAATGTTCAGAGCTGGGTTGGTCCAAAATCAGGAACCAGGAGCTTCCTCCAGGTTTCCCATGCAGGTGCAATGTCCCAAGGATTTGAGCCATTCTCCACTGCTGTTCCAGACCCCAATCAGGGAGTTAGATCAGAAGTAGAATAAGCAAGACACAAACTGGTGTCCATATGGGATACTGGTGCTTGTAGGTGGAGGATTAACCACCACCCTGGCCCAGCTCAAGCCCTTCAACTTACCTGTGGTCACAGCCTGAGGAGCGGGGCAGGAGTTCTGTCCTCCTTGGCCTTCCCCAGGTCCTAAGCTTATTAACAGTGCAGCCTTTATCTGAATCAGGTTAATTGGTTCATCCAGAAACTCCTCTTTGAAAGTCAGAAAGCAATTTCAGCCCCTAGGCTGCATGGCTATCCTGACCCCTGCCTGTTGCCTCCCTGATGACCTGGCATGGTCATGGCAAGTCACAGGCCAGTGGACAGAGAACTCGGGAGCTTGATTGGCCTTCCATGGTACTCCTCTGCTCCCCCCACCTCAGCCGCATACTCCCTGTTTGTTTCCACAGACAAAAGGGGCAGCTGAGCCAAGATTTGAGATAAATCCAGTGGGACAAGTTAGTGGCCTAGATTCAGATCTCATTACAATTTCGGGGGAATCACGCTGTGTGTAAGGGTTCCGACTCAGCCTTTCAACACCCTTGGAGCTCTGTGGAGAGGAGCAGAGTCTGAAGAGGGTGCTGGTGTGACCAGGGTGGTCTCCAATGATGCTTATCCCCCATCACCACCCCCTGCAGAAAGGACCCTTGGACTTGATTGACACAGGCAAAGGGCTGAAGGTACAGACGGACAAACCGCATCTGGTGAGCCTGGGCAGCGGGCGCCTCAGCACGGCTGTCACCCTCCTGCCGCTGGAGGAAGGTGAGTTGTGGACAAAGGAAAGGACATCTGGCCTGCCCACCTGCCTCCCTGCCCCCATCCTCTTAGGCATTCCTGCCAGGACGTCAGGCTCCTGTTGCTGTCTGCCAGCCACTCTGCGGGTGGGGGTGGGAGGTTTCCTTCCCCCTCTCTGATAAATGGTCTGGCCCTGATTAGAAAGGAGGAGGAAAGCAGCCCGTGTGGCCAGGAAGAAGGTGGAAGCCCTGACTCCATGGCCTGGGAGCCTGGATGGTGAATGAGGAGATGGGAGTTGGAGAGGCAAGATCTCCCAGGATAAGACCCTGGCATGGCCCCCTTCTTGTGCCCTCCCTCTTTTGCCTCTCCTGGCTGCACTTGTTGCCAGGGCAATAGCACATTCCCCACATTCTCCAAATACCAGTCCCAGGGGCTCTGCCAGGGGAGGGGGTGCAGGTGGCCGAAGACAGAGGAGAGAGGGAGATTTAGAAGAAAAGAGGGGAGACAAGGAGCAAGGGGGGGCCAAGGCAAAAGGTACACAGAGGGGCACAAGAGAGAGGCTGCAGAAGGCTCCTCCCTTCTCTCTGTGCAGTGTGGCCCTCACTGTGCCTTCTCCAGGGACCTGCCTGTGCTCAGGGGCCCACCGGGGTGGTGGAGGAAGACGTGTATTCCTCCCATGGCCCTGCCTGCACTGCTTGGCCTAGCAGTCCCTCTGACTCCGTTTGTCTCTTTTCTCCAGGGAGGACAGTCATTGGTTCGGCAGCCCGAGACATCTCATTGCAGGGCCCAGGCCTGGCTCCAGAACACTGCTACATCGAGAACCTTCAGGGCACCCTCACCCTTTACCCCTGTGGCAATGCCTGCAGTATTGATGGGCTCCCTGTCCGCCAGCCCACCCGGCTCACTCAGGGTAAGATTTAATGCCCCAAGCTGATGGGGGTCTGCATTGAAAAGCTTGTACATGTTAGGGGCAAGGGAAGCCTTCTGTGATGGTCACCATGGCAACTACCAGAGTGGCCATAAGGGGATAGGATGCTCGGGTGCACCTGCATGTGTCTTGACAATGTCTCACACTCCTCTGGCATCCAGACATGTCTCCCACCTGCTAATCCCTTCCCTGGTCATCCACACCTGGCTTCCCGACACTGGGCTCAGGTGGGGTGAGCAAGGGCAGTGAGCTGGAATCAAGTTCCTTGTTCCTTAATACCTAGAGGGAGGCTTTAAAAATATTTGTTTACTTATATATTTATGTGAAAGGTAGACACACAAGACAAGGGTCTTCCATTGGCTGGTTCACTCACCAAATTCTTGCAATAGCAAGGTGGGTGACAGGGATCCAAATACTTGAGCCTCACCTGCTGCCTTCCCATGGTGCACATCAGCAGGCAGATGGAACTGGAAAAGAAGCTGGGACTCAAACCCAGGCACTTTAAGGATAGAATATGGTACTCCAGAGAGCACCGTAACCTGTCCTGTTCCTTCTGAGAAGCAGCAGAGGACAGAACTTGCCCTGGGGATGGGCCAGGGGTAATATCTGATGGCTGGATCAGATACTGCCATTCCTGGTACAAGGCTGTTGACTGTGGCGTTGGGGTTATAGGAATGGGTGCCAGCTTAATTCCCAGAGCCACAGGGCGTTTTATTAGATAAGGTGGCTGCAAAAAACTGAGTACCCTATTAGTATGGTTACCAGACAGGTAAAAGGTTGGCCCATAAAGCACTTAGAAAAACATATATTTATTTTACATGCAAGAATGACAGAGACACAGAGAGAAAATGAGACCTTCTATCTACTAGTTTCTTTTCCAAATGCCTGCAACAGTCAGGCCAAAGACAGGAGCCAGGAGCTTCCTCCAGGTCTCCCACATGGGTGGCAGGAGCCCAAGTACCTGGGCCATCATTGCTGTCTTCCCAGTGCATTAGCTGGGAGCTGGATCCAGAAGTAGGATAGCTGGGATACAGGATATGGGCATTGCAAGTGGTGCTTGAAGCCACTGTGACACAGCACTGGCCTCCCAAGTAGCCCTGGTGTGGTCACTTGGGAAACAGGGGCCTAGGTTTCTATTCCTACAGAGTCAGCCAAGTTGGGGAGTGAGAGAAGCACATCTGGGTTAAAGAGGGGAAACCGCCATAAGCACAGGGCAGGAGGGCTGAAAGCTGGCATTGTTTTCCAAGAACTCTACACTGGCTGAAAATCCCTTCTTGGGAAGCTCCCACTTGCTCCAAGCTTCCCCACTTGCCTCTTGTGCATGCTGCTTTGGGGCAGGGCAAGGGAGAAGGGTGGTGCTTTAAATGCATATCCCACCAGATCATCAGGAGAGCAAAGTCTGGCCTTCTCATTGCTGCTGACCTTGGGCTGGGCTGGGCTGGGGACAGAATACGGACATCTGACTGCGGGGAGGTAGCTGTGCTGGCATTGGTAGGTCGGCCCTTGCTTCCTGCAGGGTCTTGGGGTCTCTGAGTCCAGATGGCCGGAAGGAGCCGCAGAGGTTCCTGAATGTCCAGATTTGTATGTGCAGAGGTCAGGCCAGCAAGGAAAGACCCCAGGGCAAAGCTCAAAGCAGGCCCTGTGTTCACCTCCCCACCTCCAGCCCCAGCCCCAATTCCCTCACTGTCACAGGAAGGCTGGTCCTGCCTATGTGTTGGGAGAGACGGAGACCCTATGTGCCTGTCTTAGCCATTTAGTCTAATCAAGTACACAAGGGTCAGCTCTCCGGGAAGCAAGAGGGCCCAAGGCCACCATGAGGCTTTCAAGCATTTCCTATGGTTGCAGGGACCACGCCCCTTCCATCTTTCCCAGGCAGCTGCCCACTCTGCCAAATATGTGCCCACTCCCATCGATCCTAACCCCCTTCCATTTGCATTGCTTGTGCCCCCAACCCCCAGTCCCACAGCCTTCTTGTCTGGGCTCGCCTGACTTGCGAGCCTGGCAGCCTGTGCAAGGGTAGGCAGAAGCACAAAAGAATGGGTGTTCTTGTCCCCAGCCCTCCCCTCCCCTGGGCTCCAGGAGCTGAGGGCTCCTTGTCTCATCTCGGGAGCAAGGCACGGAGCCCAGCCCAGCCTGGCCCCACTCCGGACATTCTTGGGAGTGCGTTTCCTTGGAAACTGGGTGGCTCGGGGGTGCATGTGCTCTTTCTGTGTGTCTGTTTATGCATCTCCGGAAGTGTTGGTGATGCTGGGCTTGTGTTTACAGATCAGTGTGTCCAAGTAGACAGCAAGGGTGGACCCCATGCCCCATGGTCCTGCTGTGTGTACATGTGAACCCACGAACCGTGGGCTTGCCTGGGACATGTACACCAGGGGATTCTTTTCCCTTTATCTTGTTCCCCTCATCTGGCTTTGCAGGAGGGGATTCCCTGCTTTGAAAAAACAGGTCTACGGTGGAGATGACAAGGAGCCCTTGGCTGCCACAGGCTTCAGATGTGTCACTCTGGTCCCTGGAAGAGACATAGTGCATACCAGGCAGACAAAGCAGCAACAGGCATTTCCAGCAAGAATATGCTTGGGCAAGAGAAGGAAGGTGCGGGGTGGGGTGGGGGAGTGGACAGAAAACAGATGCCAGCCTTTAGTGTGCAGCTATGAATACAGGAGCATGCGGCAAGGAAGTCAGAAAAATCCTCCTGCTGCCCCCTGTAGCTGGGCATCTTGGCACAACCCCATGCTATCCCTGTTCTCTGCTGAGCACAGGGTGGAGCTGGGAATAGGACCAAGGAAACAGGAGGAGGCATTTGGGCCTGGGTAGAGGCTGCCCCACCCTGGGACCACAGTGCCAGGCCACATGAAAGCCCTGGGAGGGGACTACGAAGGGGGAGAAGGAAGGAAGCCACAGGGCCCAGGGCCCAGGCTGTCTGGACAGTAGGTCCCCAACCACTCCCAGTAGGCGCCCTTGTTTCCAAGTCTTCTTCACTCCCCAGCCAATCACTGTGGGTGTAAGGCGGGTAGAGTTGTGTGTGGGCTGGGGGGTGGCCAAGCCTCCTGGGCGAGACAGCTGCCTTGCTGGGATCTCTTCCTTTCCCCATCCTCAGTTCTCAGTTATTCCTTCTGTGCAATGGGAGTAAAGCCTCCACACTCGCTCTGTTGCAGAACTAGTAAAGCTCAGACTAATAAATAAAGCTCTGAGGAAGAAAGCAGGAAGCGAGGACCGTGGCTGCGCTGGCCTGCTGCTGCCTCCTGCCCTTTTTCCCGCCAGGTCTGTCCAGCTGGCCATCAGTGTTTCCAGGCCGATGAATCACTGTTCCTCAGGAGGTGTGGCTGCTTAGCTTCCCCTTGTTTTGCATTTGACCCTAAATGGTTCTTCCTCTTCCTTTGGAAGGGGATGTACACTGCATTGCACATGTGTGTGGGTGTGTGGCTGGGTGTGTGTGTGGAGTGTTGTAGGGTTGTGGGTCTGTGGACCACTGGGCAAGGCTCCAAAGGATGCTAGGTTTTCTGAGGCATTGTTTCACATTCTTTTCAGGGATCCAGTGGGAGGTGGCTGTGTCAGAGTGTATAATTGGGGGGTAGGGTCCCTAAGGACCCTGTGTGAACTGTGAACTGAAATGGCTGGTGTGACTCAGTGTGTGTCAGGGCAAGTGTGTGGGGGCAGCACAGCCAGATATGGCTTGGGTGGAGGCATGGGCTCAGAGAGGTGTTTTTGGGGCCCTAGTAGGGCCTTGATCCAGCCAGGGTGATGGGTAAGTTGCAGGGAATGGGTACTGGAGGATAGGATGTTTACATGGGATCTGGGCTCAGGGACGCCTGCGTGGCACAGGGCACTGCCTTGGCCTTGAGGGCCCGGCTTGGGGTGACCTGGTCCTAGCAGCAGGCTGAAGACCAATGCTGGACCCAAGGACCCAGCTGCATTCCATGGGGCCCTCACTCTCCTCCTCTTCCTCATATGGACCCACAGAATGTCCTCTGCCATCACTGAGGTCAGCTGCTTCATTCCACAGATAAGGAAGCCCAGGCCAGTGTGACTGGCTCTAGGTGACACTGACTGGGTGGCCCCAGGTGACATTGGGTGGCCCCAGCTGACACTGGCTGGGACCCCAGCCTCTGCCACTGGCTTCCAACCCAGGAGGCTCTGAGACCTGGCGCCGCGCTTCCCTGCCATCCGTGGTTCTCCATTGAGTCTTCTGCATTCGCCTCTCACCTGGGCTCGGCCCTCATCGTCTTCCCGGGACCTCTTCTCTCACCCCTTGTCCCCCGCCCCACCACGCTGCCCGCATCCTCCTGCCGCCCCGCCCTCCGCATCCCGCTCCCCTCTCTCCTCCATCACTTCCTCTTCCCCTCCTCCCTCCTTTGTCCCTCCCTCCCTGGCTCCCTTCCCCCGCCGCCCGCCAGTGGCCGGCCCGCCCCTCCCCGGGCATTGGCGGCTGCTCGCTGCCTGGCTGCTCGCTCCGATCCTGGAGCCGGCAGCACCGGAGCTCGGCCCGCCCCCTCAAAGGCCCGGGGCGGCCTGGGGACCCGGCGGGCTTCACTAACCGGGGCCAGCGATCTGAAGGTTCAGGTTCGGAGGTGAGTCCTCACAGCCCCAGTCACCACGGTTCCTGGCTGCTGGGCGTGGAGGAGCTCAGGCTGGGAGGGGCGCTCTGGAAGGTTGGCGCCAGGAGAGGCGGTGGTGGTCGGGAATGGATCTTGGTCCTCCTTTGGGAACCTGAGACTGTGAGACCAGGTGGTTTGTGCCCTGAGCCTTTGGGAGTTGGCTAGGTCTGGACTTGGGTGCACAGCTTGTAGCTTGTAGTGGAGTCCATGGGCTGGAGGGGTCCTTGTTAGGATGAGGGCCGCTTGCCTTAGGGTTCTGATGGGAAGGGCCAATCCCTCGTCTACCTTTGCAGAGGGATTGGGAGGAGGGCAATTCTGTCTGTGTGGCCTGCAGGGCTGGGGCTGTGTGCAGTGTGAGCATCTGACTTGGGATCCACCCTCTCTTTCGCTCAGTGTTTCCGCTCCAGATGTGCAGCTCCTCCAGCCACCTGTGTGCAGCTGGAGTCTGAGCTGCTGTAGGCATGGTTGGGACAGAGGGCAGGACTGGTGACTCTAAGCCCAGGTGGACGGGGCTTCTGGGCTTTCCCGGAGCCGGCAGGGAGGGGGGCGCTGGTCTCTGGCAGGGAGGGGGGTCTCTTCCAGCAACAGGCTGGTAAGGCCCCTTGCCGGCAGTGGGGGGGTCAGAGTTGGGGACAAGCTTATGCCCCTGTGTACAAATAGAAAGTTAATTTGGGCAGGAGCTGGGCTGCGCCCATCCTGCTGCCCTCCTGCCTGCTCTATTAATACAGACCCAGCTTTGCTGCCTGGCATCACTATTTATAGCGCAGACAGCATGGCCACACCCCCTGTGGGGTCAGTGGGAGAAGGGACAGCTCTAGGGGCTGGGGCGAGGAGAGGGTGCTTAGATGCTCGCAGCTTCTTTGGTTGTACCTGGCATTGCTGGACTAGAAGCTGTGCAGAATCCTCACCCCCTTCCCAGCCTGGACTGTGTGTTTGGGCTCCCCAAGCCATCCCCAACCTCTCTTGCACCCCATCCTCCTAGGTTGAGTGGTCTGTCTAGAGCCTGTGAACTCATCATTAATTAGCTTGTTAAATGGCTGTAAGAAGAGGGAGCGGCCCGGCCCAGCTCCCTCTGAAGCAGCTGTGGTTGTGATTAGGTGGACCCTGTGGTTGGCTGTTATTTATTATGGTTATGAAGACTCTGAGATTAGCTCTTCTGATTGGTAACTGGGCAGCAAGACTCCCCCCACCTCACCACTCACCTCCCGTCCCCAGCCACAAGCTAAGCATTGTTGGTGTTTGCTTGCCCAGGACAGCCTAGGGGTGTGCCAAGGTAGTGGGTGGCTTACTTCCCTTTAGTTCTCTGCTGTAGGCTTTTCAGCCTGTGGGGCCTACCACCCCCACCTCCACCACCAGCAATGTCGGGGTCTCCAGGGACAGGCTCCCAGGCATCTCAGGAGGGGCCTGCCAAGATGCCCACGTGGCCCGAGACACCCTTTGCCCTTGCAGCCTGCCTGAACTGAAGTGTCTCAGCGTCCAGGAATGTAGCTTTCCCTGCCAGTCTTAGGCCGGCATGAAGCTCAGAGTGCCAAGTGGCATCAGATGGGGTAGGCAGGCGGCAAGGCAGGCACCGGGGGTGTAGACAAATTGGAGAGGTGGGTGGTACAGAGCCCCAGGGCTCTGGCATTTTCCAACACAGCGTCTTCTCCAGAGCCCTGAAGCACCTGGTGTGGCCTGCGGGCAGGATGCTGCCAGTTTGGCTGAGGTGCTTGTGGGCACACCTGTTGCTGTGCACGCTCCTGGGCCCCTGGCTACGTTTTTAGGCTCCTGCACAGCCTCCTCCCTGCATGCAATCACACTTCCTGGGCAGGACCAGGCTTGTGTCTGCCTCCTGGGAACGCACTCGGCTGAAGCCAGGACCTCTGTGGCCAAGGCTTGGCTAGTTTCCAAGGAGACCAGGGAGCAGCTAGAGGGTGCTTCTTCAGGGGGAAAATGAGGGTGGCCCCCATAGACTCTCAGAGCAGCAGCTCTCCTGAGGCCAAAAAGCACAGAGGAGGAGAAGCCAATTCTGGTGCCACTAGGACATGTCACTGATCCTTTTTTTTTTTTTTTTTTTTTGTCATCTGTCTCAGAACTGTAAGTCTCTGCCTCTCGAAGATAACGCGTCTACCCAAGGGGTGCATTAGTGGGTCTTGGATAGGACTCGGGTAGATGGGGCAGGGGTGTCTGAGTTCGTTGAAGAACCTTCTCCATTTGCAGAATATGTTTATAAACATCATCTTAACTGATCCTGCAGGCTGGGTGGTCTTGTCCCCATTTTTTCTGAAGAGAGAACTAGACTTGAAGGCCAAATGAGTTTTCCTGGAAACCTCACAGTGGGTGTGAGAGGAGGCATTAGACAAGGGCCTGGGTCTTAGGAACCACCCACCCGTGCTCTACACTTTGCCTGGCCCTGTGGCACAGGTGGCATCAGGTGTACATTGTATGCCTATTGAGAGTGTGGGCGGGATGGCCTGTGGCTCCACGAGGGGCTTCAGGCCTCCCTTCCTAAGCTTCGGCTTTCTCCGCAGGCTGCATGTTGTGCCTGGGTCAGTCCACTTTCCTTCGCTTTAACCACCCCGCTGAAGCCAAGTGGATGAAGAGCATGATTCCGGCAGGGGGCTTGGCCCCTGGGCCTCCCTACAGCCCTGGTCCTGGTAGGTACCCAGCTGGGTCAGGAACTCAGGCTGGTGGTACTCCTTGCCTGATCTAGCCACACTTTGGATGCTAGAGCAGAATGGTGTCCATGGTCGTGGTCTTGTTGCCGCCTGCCTCAGGCTGGTGGAGGTGGCTAAGCAGCAGGGCCATGGTGGGGCGGGGGTGGGAACAGGATCTGAGGCTGGGCTGAAAGCAATGGAGGACTCTGCCAGCTTGAACCCTCCACATTGCCTGCCCTGGAAGATGCCACTCCGTGTCTGGGTCCCTGGTTCTCTGGTGTCACCATGGGAGGGCCTCTGCCTCGAGGGTGGCCCGAGGGGACGGGGAAGCATGGGCATCACGTTCTTGGCCCCTGCCCAGCCCTCAGGCCGTGCCCTGCCTGCCACTGACTCAGTGGAGCAGCTGCAGTTCATGTGTGAATTATTGATCCCCAGAGGAGAATTGGTGATTGTTCTAGGAACTCACATTGGCTCCCTCCGTCCAGCTGTCCAAGGGGGTGGGGACACCCCAGGAGTTTACCAGAGGGGGTTGCCCAGTGCCCTGTGCACTAACATTCACATGACCTGCACATTTGCCCAGCACTGGAGACCCGAAGCAGGATCATGGGTTCAACAGGATCCAGTGTAGCCTCCCTCTGTCCCCACATCATCCCATAACTTGGGATGGAAGTGCTATCCTGAGAAAGGCTTTGCTGCCTCCTCTCCTTCAGCTGCAGTCTTAAACCCTGTGTGGTCCTAGCAGCCTGGGTGTCCAGTCCACACCCTCATTATTATTATTTTTTCTTTCCTGTTTCTACCTGAGCCTTGTCAAGCCCTCCCTGGGCTGCGGGGGCACTGATTCCAGGAACTCCTGGTTGACTGACTTGAGGGCTGGGGCAGGACAGAGTGACACTCCTGCCGCTGGTTCTGTGGCTCTTGAGCAGCACCTCGTTGCTGACCAGCAGGGCTTCCAGGAACCGGCCATTAGCAGCAGATCCCTCCCCTGCTTCTGATTGGATGAAGTGATACAGCCCTCACCCCTGACCTGGCCCTTCAGGCCTTGTTTTTCTCCCTTGTCCTCTGGCTGGTATGTAGGAAGGCCCCATGTGCTCCCTGTTAGACCGGGGGTCTCAGACCACAATAGTAGGCCCACCCTGCCCACCTGACCTTCCTGAAAGAGGAGTAGAGGGAATTAGTGAAACCAAGGCAAGGAGGGGCCTAGTTTTGGGGTGTTAGAAACAACCAGACCACCCTAAATTGTACAAGTTAGAGCTGGGAGGGGTCCTACCCAGCCCTTTGCTTTGGGGCTTGGTTTTGAGGCTGCACAGCAGGTCACGAGCAGAATTGGCTGGGGCGAGAGCCCAGCCTTTCCGGCTGTTTCTGCAAGGGGTGCCCATACTGTGGCTCCCGTGCGCCTGCAGCTCTCCCGAGTTGAAGGCCAAGGTCTCAGGCACCTTTGCCTTTCCTCCTTAGCGGAATCAGAAAGCCTGGTGAATGGGAACCACACCCCGCAGCCTTCCGGCCGGGGACCTGCAGCCTGTGCCAGCCACAGTTCCCTGGTGAGCTCTATTGAGAAGGACCTGCAAGAAATCATGGACTCGCTGGTGCTAGAAGAGCCCGGAGCTGCCGCTGGCAAGAAGCCTGCTGCCACATCCCCATTGTCACCGCTGGCTAACGGAGGGCGCTACCTGCTCTCCCCGCCCACCAGCCCGGGGGCCATGTCTGTGGGCTCCAGCTATGAGAACACCTCTCCAGCCTTCTCTCCACTCTCCTCACCAGCCAGCAGCGGAAGCTGTGCCAGCCATTCCCCGAGTGGGCAGGAGCCAGGGCCTTCTGTGCCCCCGTTGGTGCCTGCTCGTTCCTCCAGCTACCACCTGGCTCTGCAGCCCCCGCAGCCCCGGCCCAGTGGCTCCCGCTCCTCCGAAAGCCCCCGGCTGGGCAGGAAGGGGAGTCATCCTGAGAGGCCCCCCAGCCCTGGCCTCCGGGGTCTGCTGACTGACAGCCCGGCCGCCACGGTCTTGGCAGAGGCCCGCAGAGCCACTGAGAACCCCCGGCTGGGTGGGCAGCTGCCTGTGGTGGCCATCAGCCTGAGTGAATACCCGGCTTCCGGTGGCCGCAGCCAAGGCACCGGTATTCCTGGCAGCCCCAAGTTCCAGCCCCCAGTGCCGGCTCCCCGCAGCAAGATGGGCACGCTCCAGGACCGCCCCCCCAGTCCTTTCCGTGAGCCCCCAGGCTCTGAGCGAGGCCTGCCAGCCAGCCCTTCGCGCCCGCTGGTGGGGCGAACATTTTCGGATGGGTCAGCCACACGCAGCCTGCAGCCTCCCGAGAGCCCGCGCCTGGGCCGCCGGGGCCTGGACAGCATGCGGGAGCTCCCTCCTTTAAGCCCCTCTCTGTCCCGGCGTGCGCTCTCACCACTTCCCACCCGGACTACAGCCCCGGACCCCAAGCTAACAAGGGAAGTGGCTGAGAGCCCCCGGCCCCGGCGCTGGGCAGCCCAAGGTCCATCACTGGAGGACTTCTCCCTGACACTGGGTTCCCGAGGGCGGAGGACACGGAGTCCCTCACCTACCCTGGGGGAGTCCCTGGCACCCCGAAAGGGCAGCTTCAGTGGCAGACTGAGCCCGGCCTACAGCCTGGGCTCTCTCACCGGGGCCTCCCCCCGCCAGAGTCCTCGGGCACAGAGGAAGCTGTCCAGCGGGGACTTGCGGGTGCCCATCACACGGGAGCGGAAGAACAGCATCACGGAGATCAGCGACAATGAGGACGACCTCCTGGAGTACCACCGGCGGCAGCGCCAAGAGCGCCTGCGGGAGCAGGAGATGGAGAGGCTGGTGAGCAGGTGCCAGGGGGCCTGCTGCCTTCTGTCGGCATGCCTGGGTGGGAGGGGCTCCACCTCCAGGATATGCCCACATTACCAGAATCTCATGCCCTGAAGAAATATTTTACCCTAATTTCTTGCTGATCCCGTGTGTGCTCTGCACATTTCACATCAGTGCAGTGACACTAAACAGACTGATACCTCACGGTTTGAGAACCAGATCATGGTAATGCAAAGCTCGGCTCCTGAGGGGGAATGGACTTGTCCCGGGACGTACAGCAAATGCTGGTAGGGCTGGAATTAGGATCCAAGTCTCCCATCTGAGGCTGGTTTTTTTTTTTTTTTAATTTTGGGGTTTTTTTTAATGTTTTTTTTTCCTTTTTTTTTTTTTTTTGAAAATTTATTTTTATTACAAAGTCAGATATACAGAGAGGAGGAGAGACAGAAAGAAAGATCTTCCCGATGATTCACTCCCCAAGTGAGTGCAAGGGCCGGTGCTGCACCGATCCAAAGCCAGGAACCAGGAACTTCTTCCAGGTCTCCCACAGGGGTGCAGGGTCCCAAAGCTTTGGGCCATCCTCGACTGCCTTCCCAGGCAACAGGCAGGGAGCTGGATGGGAAGTGGGGCTGCCAGGATTAGAACCAGCGCCCATATGGGATCCTGGCGCGTTCAAGGCGAGGACTTAAGCCACTAGGCCACGCTGCTGGGCCCTATTTTATTTTTGTGTGTCTGTGTTTTATGTTTGTTAGGAGGCTTGTTTTTAAAGATCGATTCAGTTGCAAGGATGAATTAGAGATGACAGCTTTTCATCTGCTGGTTCAGTCTCTAGATGACTGCAGTGGCCAGAACTGGGCCAGGCCAAAGGAGGAGTTGGGAACTTCATTTAGATCTCTCTTGTGTAGGTAGCAGGGACCCATGTATTTGGGTTGTGTCTCACTGTTTTCCTGGGTGCATTAGCAGGGAGTTGGATGGGAGGGGGAGTAGCCAGGACTCGAACCCATGCTTTTGCCGGGTTCCTCTGGCTTGTTCTACAGAAAAGTCCCTGGTCCTCCTTTCTTGGTTCTCTTTGGCCTTTGTTTGCAGCTGGTTGGGAACTGGTTAAGGGGCCCAGGCAAGGTGGTCTGTGAGGGTGGGTGGCGGGGAAGGACTCTATCCCCCAGGGCTGTCCCGTGTAGTCTATTGTGGTTGCATGCACCCGTTTGGGTGTGTGCAGGGGCTGGGTGCGGCTCTGGGCAGCTGTCTTGGAGATGGCATGTGAGCTGGGTGGGGGCCGGGATTCCCCGGATAGCGCAGGGAGCTGCAGGGACTCTGGTTGGGACGGACCATGTGCTGGAGGACAGATTCTGCTTCCTCATCCCGACAGCAGAAGATTGGGACTCCTGTCTGTGCCCAGGAAGCCCGGGACTGGTGGGAGGAGGACCAGAGCCCCTCTGGGAAGCATCTGGGTGGGGCACAGGACAATTGTCTGGCTGTGTTGGGGCTTTGGCTTACATGAGACTACTGGGCTACCCTGGGCAGTGAGGCTGGCACAAAGGGGTGAGCCCAGCCTCCTGGCTCCTCCCTGTGCCCTCCCAATCCCCACCCCCACCTCACACAGACACACACCTCCTGCCAGCACCAGATGGCTCTACCTACCTCCACCTGCCACTTTAAGTCTGGAAAGCTGCTTGTCTTGCCCCTCCCACCTCAACCTGGCTGCTTATCTGGGACCTGGGGCAGGGGGCGTGGCTAGGGCCTGGCCCAACCTCCTGGGTGCTTAAACTTGGTTCCTGGTTTGTGTGTGTGTGTGGTTTTTTTCTTTTTTCTTTTTCCTTTCTTTCTTTCTTTTTTTTTTTTTTTTTTGTTTGCCTTGGAGCAGCTGGGCAGGTGTGTAAATGGGAATTCAGAGGGATCATGGCCAAGCCTCCAATGGTGGAGGAACACCTAAGGAGGCCAAGGGATGCCCCAAGAGCCTGGGAGGTCCTGCCTCAGGGTTGGGCTGTTAGGAAAGGGGAAGAGGGGAAACACAACCCAGGAACCTGATTGTGCCATCATTCCTGGGCACAGGATCCTGAGAAGTGACTGTCGGGGTGGTGTGTAGATAACAGGTGGGTTAAGAGGCAGGACCAGGCTGTGCTCACCTGCTGCTGGGGGCAGCAGGAGCTGCTGAGGGTGGGTATCAGGTTCTGTTGGGGCTGTGTGTCTCTGACTGTCGACTGGATCGTGTCTGTCTGTGCCTGTGTGTGTTTGTGCGAGTTGGGACCTGTGGCTGTGTGTCTGCCTGTAAACATAGATCTGGTGCCCATGCCGGGTCTCTGTGAGCCAGCATGCTGGGGCTGGGATGTCCAGGTGTCCAGCAGGGTCTTCGTGAGCCAGTGTGCTGGGGCTGGGATGTCTGTATCCAGTTCCCTGTCAGGACAGGCTGATGTGTCTCTTACTGCGGTCTTCAGTCGCCTGCGTGTGTGTCTGTTAGTGTCTGGGCGTGTCTATGAGGAAGCCCAGTCCCAGGGCATATTGAGAAGGGAACGGAAGCAGGAAGACAGGAGGGTTGGCCACGTGGGCAGGTGTCCCAGGAGCCTGGATCTTCCTGCCTATTTCTGGGGTGTCCTTGCTTTGCCGCTTCTACATCTGGGAGTTAGGACTGTCCTTAGCCCTGAGTACCCAAGCTCTCTCTCCTGACCAGACACCCTGCCTGGTTCTAGCCCCAGTCCATGCCCCCACTACCTCACCCCCAAATTCACCAGCTCATGCCTGCTCTGTTCACTTTCCCCAGGAACGCCAGCGCCTGGAGACCATCCTGAATTTGTGTGCTGAGTATAGCCGGGCTGACGGGGGACCTGAGGCCGGGGAGCTGCCCAGCATTGGGGAGGCCACGGCAGCCCTGGCACTGGCCAGCCGGAGGCCCTCCCGAGGCCTTGCGGGGGCCATGGCGACCTCTGGACGGAGCACGGAGGAACCTGGAACCAGTAGCCAACGCCTGTGGGACAGCGTGGACCGCTCTGACGAGGAGAATCTTAAGGAGGAATGCAGTAGCACGGAGAGCACCCAGCAGGAGGTGGGGTGCAGGGACCTGCGGCCCCGTGGGGCAGAGGAAGTTGGGAGCCAGAGAGTGGGGAGCCATGGATGGAACCAGCCTGGGCAGATTGCACAGCCAGGAATGGTGGCCATGAGCAGGCAAGGAAGGTGTTGAGGCTCCAGGCTATAAATATGCTTTACAACCTGCCTCTCCTCCAGGCCCCACCCAGCCCTGGCACTCAGTGGTAAACCTTTATGCCTTTTAGCTGCAGACTTGTCACTCTGCCTAACCCTCACAGGGAAGGGAGTCGGCCTCCCAGTTTCAGTCTAGGGCCACGCCACCCTGAATAAAAGGGGTTCCTGATGGCCTCCCTCTCTTGCAGCACGAAGATGCACCTGGTACTAAGCTCCAGGGAGACATGCTGGCCCTGGAGGAGGAGCGGGCACAGGTGCTGGGGCGTGTGGAGCAGCTCAAGGTACGCGTGAAGGAGTTGGAGCAGCAGCTGCAGGAGTCAGCCCGTGAGGTGAGCCTTCGGGCCCCCTATCCCAGGGATGAGCTAAGGCCCCTGACTGCCCCATGACCGGCCTCCTGGTGTCTGTCCCCAGGCGGAAATGGAGCGGGCTCTACTGCAGGGGGAGAGGGAGGCAGAGCGGACGCTGCTGCAGAAGGAGCAGAAGGCGGTGGAGCAGCTGCAGGAGAAGCTGGTGGCCCTAGAAACGGGCATCCAGAAGGAGAGGGATAAGGTAACCCATACCTGGCCTGGCCTAGCCTGGGTCGAGGACCAATGGCCTGGGAGAGAGGGGCCCTGGAGCCCTTGCCTCATCATCCATCACGCTGGCCAGGTGGTCTGCGTGGCCTCTTCGGGGACAAGGCCTCTTGCCATCCATGGAAGGTACCAGCTTGGAGGGAACTGTCAGGGGTGGGGCTTATGGTGTCTGAGGGTCTCCTCTACCTGGTCTTGGTACTACCTGTGGGTGCCTGCCATTCAGGGTCCTCCGTGGCCCTTCTAGAAAGTGCCAGAATCTCTCTTGGGCAGTGAGTACAGCACAGCAGGGGACTGAGTCAGGTCTATGTGTCATTGTGTGGACGCCATCCTGTCGAGTGTGCTGTGGCCTTGTGGGAGAGGGGGTCCTTGGGTCTCTGCTTCCCGTGAACCTTCAGGTGCTGCAGCTTCCCACCCCACATGGTCCAGCTCCTGCCCCTGCACCCCTTTCAGATTTTGTGCCTGTCTGCAGGGGCGGCTCCGGTCCGTAGGGGTGGCTCCAGTCCCAAGGGGCCAGGCGGGCCATGCCCGTGATGCCCCCACCGCTATAACAAAAGCTCTGACGTGGAAAAGTTCATCTCTTGTCAGACTCTAACAGTATTTTCCAAATAATTAAAATTTCCTTCTAGTTTTTAAAAAAATTTTTATTTTTTGGAGACTTTGTGGCCATCTTAAACATACTTCAGCAAACCACCCCCCTTTTTTTTTAAACTTTGACTCTGGCCCCCAAAACCACACTCCCAAATTCTGTGCCAGATTATTAACTCATGCTTACCAGCCAGGGCTTCACTAACGTGCCCCTCTGATCACCGTCCTGGGCTTTCGCATGCCCCTAACTAGCAGGCCACCCAGGCAGGGCTGAGCTGTGCCTGCCTTCGCACTAACTCCAGGGTGCTTTCATGCCCCTGGCCTCACCCCTCTAATAACTACCTCCTCCTCTTGGTGTGGGACCCCCCAGGGGTTTGCTCAGAAGGAGCTTGGGGTGGGGGTGTGCAGCTAAACTAATGGGACACAGGCAGGAGGGGCTTAAGGGTGGGGCAGGGCAGCCCAGCCTAGGAGCTCCTCCTACTGCAAAGGCCTGGGCTGCCGCCTCCACGTTGGCAGCTTCCTGCGTGGCAGGGGGAGACGGGCCATCTTTGCCCATCTCCCTGTCTGCCTGCCGGTTGGAGCTGAGGGCGGTAAGCAGGTCCAGTTGGGGCATGGCTCCTGGGGGTAGATCTTTCTAATGACACAGTGGCTACCCTTCCCAGCTTCCCTTGGGGCTTCCCAGGGTCTGATACTCGCATCAGAGGGTGGGATGGGTGACCCCTCTCCACTAGTCCCCCAAAGCTCAGGATGGGGCCAGGTCCTTCCGGGGATGTGGGGATGGTGAGTGGAGAAAGGGAGTTACAGGGGTAACTTCTGGGGTGCAATTTTGCATTTCAGCCTAGCCTCATTTCTCAGTGGCTAGATCGGGACTTTGTTGTCTCTCCGGGTCCAGTTATTGGAGGGCAGTGGGTGGTGGTGGTGGCGGCGGTGGTGGTCTGGAAGGTTCCCTTGCTTCCCTCCCCAGCCCCCAGTCCATGGCTGCCTCTGGCTGTGGAATCCATAATCACAGCTTCTCCCCTGCCTGTCCTTCCGAGGGGTGACTCACCAACTCCTCCCCTAGTCGTCCCCTTTCTCTGCCACCGCCTGCCGCCCTCTGAGGTGTCATCTCGCCCCAGACAGAGCAGTCCACCTCCTCTCTGTACTCGTTCCCGGGCTCCTGTTCCCGTGGCAACGGCCAAGTTAATTGCAACTTTTGTCCCCACTGAAGTTCAGCCTGCAGTGCTGGCACCCCACCCTGATCTTGGGCAGAGGGGGCGGGGCGCGGGGAGACCCAGAGTGTTGGGCAAGGGTCCACTCTGATGCACTGCGCTGTAGCTTTAACCTTCTCAGCTCCTGAATTACACCCCACCCTCAGATTTAACCCTCTTTCTCACAGGGGTAAATTTTGGTCTCTGGGCAATGGGGAAGCCCCAGGCTCCCAACCACAAGGTGGTAGCCCTTTGGGCCTCTGCTACATCCAAGAGAAAATGGAAGGCCTTTTCCTTACGGCCTCTCCTGAAGGTTGCAAGTTCAAGGGCCTGCAGGAGACCAACATTTCTGCCCTGTGCCTGCACCCCTGCCTGCATTCTGCCACGCCCCTCCTCCCTCCTGCTTCACCTCCTGCCTCCCTCACTCTCCTCTCTGCTCTTCCTCCTTCCTCTCTGATTGCTCTCTCTCCTCCCTTGCCCGCCCGCTACATCCCTGCTGCTCTGCCCACCCGGCCCGGAGTTGAGGAGTGTGTGTTCTGTTTCTCCCCCTGTGCCCGCCCTCCCCACCCCTCCCGCCACCAGGAGAGGGCGGAGCTGGCCGCGGGAAGGAGGCACCTGGAGGCCCGCCAGGCGCTCTACGCCGAGCTCCAGACGCAGCTCGATAACTGCCCCGAGTCAGTGCGGGAACAGTTACAGGAACAGCTGAGAAGGGTCAGTGCCACCAGCCTTCCCACCCCCGGCCCCTGCGGGCCACCCGCCCAGAGAGAAGAGAAGGAGAGCGGTGGGACGGGACCATCTGGCCCTGCACTACGTGCCGGACACCAGGACCGGTGCTGTGGCTTGGAAGGGGACCGGGCAGGTTGGGAGGGGTCAACAGCAACACTCTAGGCCATGATTCCCTCTCACCCCTGGTCTGGGGTGGGGTGAGGCCAAGCAGAGCAGTGAGGGTAGGGTGGGGGTAAGTCCTTTCCCACAGTGTCCCTGGGTCCAGCCCCCCACGACTCTCCTCTGTGGTCTGGCCTTCCAGGTAGGCCCGGAGTGCTATTGTGATCACCTCCCAACCAATTCCCTGTCCCTGTTGTTGAAGGAGGCGGAGGCCCTAGAGACGGAGACCAAACTCTTTGAGGACCTGGAGTTCCAACAGCTAGAGCGGGAAAGTCGCGTGGAAGAGGAGCGTGAGCTGGCAGGCCAGGGACTGCTGCGCAGCAAGGCTGAGCTGCTCCGCAGTGTGGCCAAGAGGAAGGTGGGCGTCTGTGGCATTGGCCTGGCTAGCTGCCTGTGGACGGGGAGGCCAGGGCCCCATGTCTGCATTGCAGTCATTGCCTCACTTTGCTCACTTGTGGATAGGCTGATGTGGAACTTAGACCAGGAACGACTGCACTAAGTCCTCTGCAGGGGAATTTTGGTCTTAAGCCTTGGCTCCCCTTCATCTCAGTGGAAGGCAGGTGCTGCTCGTGTCCTGAGCTGGGCACATCCTGAACAGGAAAGTGGAAGGTAGAGCTGGAGGAGGAAGCTACAGAGGAGGCTCTCACCCTGTCTAGCTGTGTCTGATGGAAGCATTGGCACCTGTTAGATATGGTGTTAGAGGTTAGAGACAGCTGGAGTTGGCGGAGGCCACCACCCTCCCCTTGACCAAGGGCGTCTGTCTGGGTTCTAGCCCCCACATGGCTGAGCTCTTAAACAGGGGGATTAGTCATCGTGTTCTGTTAGTAGTTTGGCAAGGGCAGGGGAGGGGATTGCAAGATGGCACTCCCATACCTGAGGACCGAGGTGTGGCTGGGGCTTGTGTCTGTAAGCAGGTGTATGCATGGGCAGTGGCCCTGGCAGGAGTGAGCATGTGGGGTAGGGTGAGGAGAGGCCACAAGTAGTGAGTGTGGTGGGTTTGCTGCTGGACGTCCCCTGAGCCCAGCTCCTTCGCTTCCCTTCCCAAGCCGCTCTGCCCGATGCTTTCCCGATGTGAGGCTGATGAAGGAAGGAAACTAGCCTCCCCTAAGCACTCGAGCAGGTGCAGGCACCCAGGCAGCAGCCCTCCTTGGTCATCTCCTGCTCTCTTGGGGATGATCTTGTAAGGCAGGCTCTCTTGTTCCCACTTTATAGACCAGGAAACTGCGGCTCACATGGCTTGACGCCTCCTGGCACATAAGCATCAGAGTGAGCCTGAACCTCCCCCTCTGGTCCTCAACCTTCCTCTTTCCTCAGAGTTACTTTTAGCACATGATTTTTTTAAAGGCTTATTTTATTTTTTTATTGGAAAGTCAGATATACAGGGAGGAGGAGAGATAGAGAGGAAGATCTTCTGTCCAGTGATTCACTCCCCAAGCAGCTGCAATGGCCAGAGGTGCACTGATCTGAAACCAGGAGACAGGAGTCTCTTTCCGGTCTCCCACGCAGGTGCAGGGTTTCAAGGCTTTGGGTCGTCCTCAACTGCTTTCCTAGGCCACAAGCAGGAAGCTGGATGGGAAGCAGGGCTGCCAGTATTAGAACCTATGCCCATATGGGATTCTGGCAAATGCAAGGCGAGAACTTTGGCCACTAGACTACCATGCGGGACCCATGATTTTTATTTTGTTTTATTTGATGGGCAGAGTTAGAGATCTGCCATCTGCTGGTTCACTCCCCAAGTGGCTGCACTGCTGGAGATAGGCCAGGAGCTGACACCAGGGGCAATATCTGAGTCTACCCACATGGGTGCAGGGGCTCAAACGGGCATCTTTGCTACTTTTCCTAAGCTGTTAGCAGGGAATTGGATCAGAAGTGGAGCAGTTGGGACATGAATTGTCATCCACATGGGATGCCAATATTGGAGGCAGTGGCCTTATCCTCTGTGCCTCAACCCCAACCCTGCAGTGTATTCTCTTTACAAAGATTAGATAATTCAGATATGTAAATGAACTTGAGAGCCCCTAAAGGGGCTATTCTGTGATAGCATGGAGTGGTTGAGAAAGTTGGAAATGGAAGCAGATGGCTGGCTGGTGAGTGGGCCTGGAGGGAAGGAGTGGGAAGCTGTGGGGTTGGGATAGGTGAACTATTTAGTGTCTGGGCTCTGTGACCCTGGACTAGAGGGTAGCGAAAGGCTAGATTTAGTGACTGGGTTCCAGCTAGTGGGTCTGGGGGTTCCTGGCCAAGGGAGGGAGGGAAGAAGGGGGACATGAGCTAGTCATGGCAGGCTGGATTTTCCTGGTCTGCACTGGGACCGAGTGAGAGAGCCAGCTTCCTTCACCAGGGCTGGGGCACCTGGGCAGCAGAGTCCGCTGAGTCCCCTTTGGCCTTAGCTCCACTTGCCCAGCCTTTGACCAAACACCCTCTCTCCTCCAGGAGCGCCTGGCAGTGCTTGACAGTCAGGCTGGGCAGATCCGGGCCCAGGCCGTGCAGGAGTCAGAGCGCCTGGCCCGTGACAAGAATGCATCCCTGCAGCTGCTGCAGAAGGTAGCTCCTGGTAGGGGTGGGGGGCTGTGGGGAGGTTGGAGGTTGGGGCACACAGGAGCTGGGGTGGGGATTTGCCAGCACAGGCCCACCTTCCTCATCTTCCTCTTCTCTAATCCTGCTTTTAGGAGAAGGAGAGGCTGGCCATGCTAGAGAGGAGATACCACGCACTGACCGGGGGCAGGCCTTTCCCGAAAACCACCTCCACCCTCAAAGAGGTAGCAAGGTTGGGTTGGCCCGAGTGGTGTCCTGGGGTGGGGCAGGGGACTGCGTGAGGTCGCTTTCCAGAGCAGCAGAGATCAGAGGCTAGATGGTCCTGAGGTCTGGGAGTTGTCCTTCCATGGGCAGTGGCTGCCTCCTTTCCATTGCTGTTTGTACTCCTAAGAGCTGGCTGATCTCACCATGTGGGGACTGGGGTTTGGGTACGGTAGGTGGGGTGGGACGTAGAGATCTGGGGTTCCCTGGACTTTCATCTGGGGCTTACAAGTGGGTACTGGGGCAGTTGCTTCCCTAGCCCATGTGTCTAGCCTGGGAGATCTGACTGGGACATGCCTGGTTTGCCTACCTCCTCCCTACCACACTGTGTCGAAACGCACCACACCGCACAGTGGTTTAATCTAAACAGGAGGGGTGCCACCCCTCACTATCTCCACCCCCTCTCTGTAGGCCGAGCTCCTCACCTCCCAGTCTTCAGACACAGGGCTCGGGTCTAAAGCTCTGAGCCTGTTGCCAGGGTCTTCTCAGGCCGGGGCTGCCTCTGTCCCCTTAACTCCGTCCGCTTCCACTCTGCTCTGCCCCAAAGCACAAGAGGTAACCACAGCTAACTGTGTGCTCTGCTTTGCCCGCTGCCTGCCCGCCCAGCTCCCGCCCCTAGCCCCTCCCAGGCCTGGCGGAAGGGCGCATGGCGGTAATCCTTTGGCTGGCCAGGGTTTGGGGGAGCTGGAGTGAGTGTGCTGTTCTGCTGGACTGCCCGAGCCACATCAGGGCATTGATTTGCATCTCAGTTTGCACGAATTCTGCATGCCACTCTGGTCTCTTTGGCTCCTTTTCTCTGTTTCATGATCCCCCACTCCATCTGCCCCCTCAGCCCTTCACCAGATAAACCGGACAGTCTGGCCTAGCTGATCCCCTGCCTGGGGCGGGCTTAGGCTCCTGAGCTCTGCCCCAGTGCCTGGACGGGCTTGAGTTCTGAGGATGAGTGGTGAATGTAGCAGTCCCTGTCCTCACAACCTATGGTTGGCTGCTGGCATCTTCCCAAATGGGCAGTGGGCCCATTTCCCTGCCAGGCTCTCTTGCCATAGCCTCGTTCTCAGAGCCTGTCTTGCTTGGGTCCTAGTGGTGTCTCCACCAGTTTCTAGTGCCTGGGGCAGAGAGTAGGAGAGACCCTGCACAGTAGTGTGGGCTGGTGGCTGAGGTTGCATGTGTGTGCCCCATAGCGGGTATGTGGGGTGCTAGACACAGATGGCGTCTCTGGGAAAGCCTTCTTAGGCCTTGTCACCTGCCCTCAGTCTCAGGAAAACCCAGTCATGGGCCTTCAAGGTCTGCTAAGGACTGGGACCGGGGGTCAAGGTGGCTCCCAAAATGAAAGACATGGGGGAACCTCCCAGCAGTCAGTTCAACCCATCTTCCCCCTCCTTCTGAACCCCATCTTCCCTAGCCCTTCCCCCTCCCACTGGATCCAAGCGTCCCACCTTGGCTCCTGGTTTTGTTACTGACAAGGAGTGATGGCACTGTGATGTGGCCTGGCATGGAGTGTGGGGCATTGAGTGCCTGTGCAAATCCCGGTAACCCTTTCTCCGCCCATTCCCGCCTCCCATGGGTGTCCCAGGAATATGTGAGCCTGGCAGAGGTCCTCCAGCTGTGCTTCCGCTTGGATCCCCATGCTTCTGCCATCCCCCCCAACACGCACACCTGGCCCCTGCCTAACAGCGAGGTATCAGCCACTGCGTGTGTGTACCTGCCCTTGCCCAGGGGCCTCCTTGTGTGTGCCTTAGGGCTGTCCCTTGATGGGAGGGATAGGTGGCAGGGTCTGCGACAATGAGAGAAAGGGCAGCAGGTGTGGGGGGCATGCTCTGTGTCGGCTCAGCTGCCTGCACCAGGCCTCCGGTCCTAGAAGCTGCTTCTGCTCTGTGATCCCTCTCCCTCCCTGGGCATGGCCCCTCTCTGGGGTTTCAGTCTGGTTAACCTCTAATGTTCCCTCCTTCGGCCGCTCTCTCCCTAAGTACGTGACGCTTGAGCAGCTAAAGGCAGCGTGGGGTACCTCGCCCAGACCCCCAGCCCCTGCACCGGGCCTGCCTGCCTGGGCTTCTGCCTCTCGGGACCTGGTTCCCACCAGCAGCCTTGCTCTCATGCCGCCCTCCTCCTCCTCTGCTTCCATCATGCCTTCTCCCAAGGTTGGTGAACTGTGTGTCCTGATGTCCCTGCCTGACAACTGGCCCTGTGGCCGGCCTCAGGAGCACGGCTCAATGCTGTGGCCCCAGGTCAGCAGGCTGGCTGCTGTTGCCTGCTTTTGGCCTGGGGTCTGTCTTTGCACTGTTTCTTTGCCCCTGAGGCACTTGCGGGCCAGCTATGATCTCACTGTTGTCTTCTCTCTCGTATGTGCTCTCTTCTCCCTCCCTCTCCTGTCCCCTTACCTGGTTGGACCTCCCTTTTGCCTTCTCCCCATCTCCTGCCTTTTTCTTTCCCCCGTGTCCTGGCCTCTCCCTCCTCCTGTCCCTCCATGTGACACCTCCAGATGGAGAAGTTGCTGCTCCCTGCCATAGACTTAGAGCAGTGGTACCAGGAGCTGATGGCCGGGCTGGGGACTGGCCCTGCTGTGGCCTCCCCTCGCTCTTCTCCCCCGCCTCTGCCCGCCAAAGCTTCCCGTCAGCTGCAGGTAACGCCCTTGGCTCTGCATCTTGCCCTGGCCTTGCTGTGACCGCTGCACCAGCCAGCCAGCCGCACAGGGCCAACCCTGGGGAAATGAAGGGAGGGCAGTTTTGGTCTTTCATGGGCAGTGTGGATTTCTGCCGGGGAAGCTGGGTGGGACAGCAGCCTCCCGAGCCCTGGCCAGTGGAAAGGGGTCCTGACATGGTCATGTTGGGTTCTGTTGGGTAGCCTGTGCCGGGCCAGGCTGTGGTTCTGCTCTCATTCGCAGCCCTAAGCCTGGAGCTTTGACCCAGTATGGGGCCTGTGGCAACTTCTAAGTGACAAGTCTTGAGTGGGCTGCTGGAGTTTTGTCCTCCTGGTCTCCTCAGGGATGACATTCAGAGGCAGCAAAGGAGGCAAAAGCTCCATAGTGACAGCCTGCTGTGATTGTTATGGGAGACCTTGCACCTGTGGGCACTCCTGACCGCAGGAAGTGGGGAGGGTGCTTGCAGGGTTGCCCCCGCCTCCAGGTTTTATGCCCTTGACCTGCGGGAGCCTCTGAAATGCCCCTGTCTGGGAGTTACTGACTCTGTGATGTTGGCTGGTGTTCTGTATACCTGTTTGGGGCGGTGGGGGAGGGAGGGAGGTGACTCCTGTAACATGTGCAGTGATTCTCCTGTGTGCCTGGCTGGATTGAGGTTTCCATATGGTTTGATTCAGTTACTCCTCACTGCTGGGCTTTTGGGGTGAGCGATGTTAGCTCTCATTTAACCCGACACCATGGGGGCAGGGAGGGAGCGCCTGAAGTCAGGGTTCTTGACTTCTGCAATGGAATTCACAGTTTGTTAGTTCCATTGGGGGCTTGGCCATGACAGGCCAGTCCCACCCCTTCCTTTGGCAGATTAGGCAGTCAAGGCCTGGAGCCGGGAGGGGTGTGTGGCTCAAGGCCATACAGACTGTCTGGCACAGCTGGGACCAGAAGCTGCCCAAGTTGCAGCTGTCTCCCGGCTGGCATGGCCTCCTGGTACGAGTCTGCTTACAGATCCTCCCTCTCACTCAGGAGGACCCAGGATTGGCCTGGGAGGAGGCTCGGCAGGTGCTTGCTGTGTCTGCCTGCTGGGTTGGCCCCAGAGGCCCAAGGCCTGATGCCAGGGCACAGCCTTGGATCTGAGCCACCCTGGGTGACATGTGGGAGCCTGACATCACTGGGCAGTGTCTCTTCCCTCCAGGTTTACCGCTCTAAGATGGATGGGGAGGCCACCAGTCCCCTGCCCCGGACTCGTAGCGGCCCCCTGCCTTCCTCTTCTGGCTCTTCTTCCTCTTCCTCCCAGCTCAGCGTGGCTACCCTGGGCCGCAGTCCTTCCCCAAAGGTCTGAGGACAGTGGTTGGGGTGCAAGTGCATGGTGGGGGGCGGGTGTTGCATCTGGAGTCGTCCACACCAGGGGCTGGGTGAGGGGGTGTGAGAGCTCCAGACCCAGCTCTCCATTGCCTCAGCAGAGCGCCCTCCTGGCCCAGAATGGCACGGGCAGCCTTCCTCGCAACCTGGCCGCCACATTGCAGGACATCGAAACCAAGCGCCAGCTGGCTCTGCAGCAGAAGGGTGAGTGGCTGTGACTCAGCCCACTGTCGCCTCCGGGCCATGCCTTTCACAGGATGTTCATGCTTTAATGGAGCGTGGGCGGGAGCAGGGAGAATTATTGAGACCCGCCCCCCCATACCCACCCCAGGAACCCGATACTTAGCAGAAGGCTGCAAGGCAGGGGCCAGGTGCCTGATGTGCTTAGCAGATAAGAAATGAGGCTTAGACATGGCCAAGTCCAGAGGCAGGGTGGTGGATTTCATGACCTCCAGAAATGGGGACCCTGGAGTCCCGTTGATTTGTGTGCATCTTCGTTGTTTTAAGAGCCCATGTGTGTCTGTCTCTCTTCTCCCCTTCACTTCTCTCCCCTCCTCTTCCTTCCTTTCCTCCTCTTTCCCCTTCCGTTTTCTCCCCTCTCCTCCATGTCTTCCTTTTGCATTCTCTGCCTGGGTCCCCACCCATCCAGTTGAGTCGCTTCACACTGAGTCCCTCCCGACTGATGACCTAGCAGGTAGAGCGGAGATCACCGAGGCTGTTGCTTTGGCCAGGCTGCCCTTGCCCTGGCATCAGCATGGTGTGCCCTCTGCCCCACGCCCCAGGCCTGCAGGCCTCAGCCCTGAAGCTGACTTCTCTCCCCTCCTGTCTCTCTTGCCCACTTTCTTGTGATGTTGCTTATGCATCTGCATTGCAGGGGGTCTGCATGGGCACCCTGCATGCCCCTGGTGCTTCATCGCCTCCTCCTTTCCCAGCAGGCTATGTGGGTGCATGTGTTCTGCCCATCTGCTCAGGCCTGGGCTGTAAGTTGGAAGCAGCTGACCATCTCACTACCAGGGCACCACCTGTGCAGGTTGGGTGCCTAGTGTGGGCTTGGGAAGCAGCAAGAACACTGATGTTAGTGCCATGGGCAGTGTGGGCAGCCTGCCTGGAGCCATGGGAGAGGGTGCCGTCGTGGGTCAGCCTCTTCCTGCTCGCCTCATTCCTCAGTGATGTTGCCAGTGTCCCTCTCAGGTAGCAGGGAGCCTGTTGTGACACGCACCTGTCCCCTCTACAGGGCAGCAAGTGATTGAGGAACAGCGGCGGCGACTGGCCGAGCTGAAGCAGAAGGCGGCGGCTGAGGCACAGTGCCAGTGGGATGCCCTGCATGGGGCAGTGTCCCTCCCCCCGCTCATGCACCATTCCATCCTGCATCACCTGCCAGCCGGGCGGGAGCGCGGGGAGGAGGGCGAGCTCGCTTACGACACACTGAGCCTGGAGAGCTCAGACAGCCTGGAGACCAGCATCTCCACCGGGGGCAACTCGGCCTGCTCCCCCGACAATGTGTCCAGGTACCCTTCCATGCCTGGGGCCCTCTGCCTACGGCCCAGGTCTCCTACGCACCTTGATGAATGCGCTTTTCCTCCTTGGCTCCACAGTGCCAGCGGTCTGGACATGGGAAAGATCGAGGAGATGGAGAAGATGTTAAAAGAGGCCCATGCCGAGAAGAGCCGGCTCATGGAGTCCAGGGTGAGGCTGCCCTGGGCCGGGGAGGTGCAAGGTGGAGGGGCCTGCGTGACAGCGCAAGCCCTGCTATCCATGTTGGCCACACAGCGTTCCCTTGGGATTAGAAGGGCTTGCATATGCTCTCTCTTATTAAGATTGATTTGTTTGAAAGGTATAGTTGCATAGAAAGAGAGGGAGAAACAGATCTTCTCTCTGCTGACTCACTTCCTGGATACCTACAATACCCAGGGCTGAGCCAGTATGAAGACAGGATCCAGGAGCTTCTTCCAAGCTTTGCACATGAATGTAGGGGCCCAAGGATTGGGGCATGCTCCGCTGCTTTCTCAGGTGTATTAGAAGTGGATGAGGCGAGACTCAAATCAGTGTCCGTATGGGATTCTGGCATCACAGGCAGCAGCTTCACCTCCTGTGCCACAGCATCAGCTCCATGGGGTGAAAGTGCTTTAGAAGTTTGCTTTAAAAGTTTGTATTGCTTTGGCAGGTGTAGGGTTGGCTTGGTGAGAGTGCAGCTGCACAGCTCTGAGTAGCAGAAGGTGTGCATAAGTGTTACACAACCTTGAATTTCCTGAACAGCTTGGCACTTTGAATCTGTGTTTGCTTGCTACTGTGGACTTTTTTATTTTCAAAAGATTTCTGTGTTTGAAAGGCAGAGTTTGAGAATTAAGTGAGAATCTTCCATCCATTGGTTCATTCTCTACTTGGCAACAACAGTCAAGGTTGGAAAGTTAGGAGCCAAGAACTTCCATCTGGGTCTCCCATATGACTGGTGGGGTCCAAGTACTTGGGCCATCCTCTGCTGCTTTCCCTGGTGCATTATGAGGGAGCTAGATCAGAAGTGGAGCAGTATAGACTCGAACCAGCATCTGTAAGGGAAGATGGTGTTGTAGGCACCAGCTTAGCCTATTGTACCACAACGCCAGCCCCTCTCTGTGGACTTTTGCTTCCCTGTCTGTAGCATGGCATTCTTCTTAGGAATGGTTAGGAATAGCTGGAGCTGGGGGTTGAGGTGTAGGACAGCAGGGGATTCAGAGCTAAGCCAGAGCAGGGATGTTGGCTGTAGGGCAAAGGGCATTAAGGAAAGATGTGTCCCCTTCACGTGGGCATAGAGCTGGGGCTCAGCAGAGAGAGACCAGGTGCGTATCCTGGGCATAGATGGGCCCAGGAGCCTGATGCCTGGGGAGGAAGTTAATTAAGGATCTACAGATGCACCTGTCTCCATGTGAGAGCTCGCAGCATCTCTTGAAGGGAGAGAGGCAGCAGCAGCTGCAGGGACTAGAAGGGGAAGCAACAGCCATTTGGAAGTGGGTCCAGCCAGCAGAGAACACTAATGGTGTTTTGGTGTTGGAGTCGGCCCCTCGGTGAACATCTCTTGGGCAGGTGAAGGGCTGGGGGCTCTGTCCAGGTCAGAGCTGGGCAGAAATGCCAAGTCAGGGGTGATGGTAGTGAGGTCTGTCTTGTTTAAAGCACAAAGAACATCATTGCCATGCTTGATTGCTTTTTAATTTTTTTATTGTTGTTGGTTTTGTTGTTTTAAAAGATAAAGTTATAGAGAGAAGAAACAGAAAAGGGGTTAGATTTTCTGTCTGCTGGTTCATTGTCCAAATGGCTACAATAGCTAGAGCTGGGCAAGTCATCCAAAGCCAGGAGCTTCTTCTGGGTCTCTACTGTGGGTGCAGGGGCCCAAACACTCGGGCCATTTTCTGTGACCTTTTCAGGTGTATTTGCAGGGAGCTGGATTGAAAGTAGAGCAGCCAGGACTCAAATCGGTGTCCATATAAGTTGCTGGTGCCACAGATGGAGGCTTAGCGTGCTACACCAAGGCACTGGCCCCAATTTTTGTGGTTTTTAAAACATTTCCTGTTAATTGACTTGAGAAGCAGAGAGGTAGAGAAAGATGCTCCAGCCCTGGTTCCCTCTCCAAAATCCCATGACAGCTGGGGCTGGGCCAGGCCAAAGTCAGGAACCCAGAACTCTATCCAGGTCTCCCATGTAGGTGACAGGGACCCAAGTACTTGGGCCATCACCTGCTGGAACCTAGGTGTATCAGCAGAAAGCTAGATTGGAAGTGGAGGCAGAAGTGGAGGCATGACTCGACCCTAGGCTGTCTGACATGAGATGCAGTCAGCTTAACGTGCTCTACTAGGACCAATGTCCCTATAATCTGTATTTGATGACTTTTAAACTGCTTCTATATATTCAGTCATGACCTTGGTGTCCAATTTTTTTTTTTTAAGATGTATTTATTTTTGGGCTTGGCACGATAGCCTAGTGCTGTAGACTGAAGCTTAGCCTACTATGTCATCGCACCAGCCCCACAGTATGTTTCCAAGGACCCGAAGTTAGTATTTGGGGAAGGACTCGGACAAACCGCCCAAAAAGAAGGTTCAGCAGTTCCATGTTCTAGAAATTCAGATAGGGTGCTAGGGTCCCCCTTGGCCTTATTGAGTGCTGCTTTTTTGCTGTACCACAGATGGGCATTTATAGATACATCTCACACACATGATATGGCATGTAGTTTGCACTATACTTTCAGGAGCAGGAGTTCTAACCCTGTGTTGCAGAGGGAAACTGAGGCACGATTGAAATTGGTTTGTTGGGCTCCTGAAGCCCCAGCGCGGTGGTGGCAGGGCCAGGGCTTCCTGCTTCATTCCCAGCAGGACTCTTGGAGAGGGTGGGCTGTGAAGATGGTGCCTTCTGCGCCCTTGCCTGGCCAGCTGAGGGGGCAGAGTGCAGCAGTGGCTGAGCCCTGACTCTGGGGTAGGAGCGGGAGATGGAGCTGAGGCGGCAGGCCCTGGAGGAGGAGCGTCGGCGGCGGGAGCAAGTGGAACGGAGGCTCCAGAGCGAGAGTGCCAGGAGGCAGCAGTTGGTGGAGAAGGAGGTCAAGATGCGGGAGAAGCAGTTTTCCCAGGTGAGTGTGGAGCCTACCCCTGCCACCTGCTCCAGCTGAGGCTGCTGTGGACTGAGCACAGGCAGCGTTCTGCAGGGATGTGCTGGCTCCAGGAGACACAGTCCCGCTGGGGTCTGTTCAAACCAGCCTCAGCCTTGGCATGGGCCACCTTGCAGAGAAGCAGCTGGGAAGAGTCAGGGAAGCATCCCTCGGCCCCCTGTGTGCTGTGTGACTCTGCGCTGGACCTCCCTTGCCCGCCCCCTGCTGCCCGTCCTGCTCACAGCACTCCCTCGCCATCCTGGCCCCACCTGCATGTCTTGGGGACAGAAATTCCCTCTTGGCACAGAACCAGCCCTGCCTCCCTGTCCCCCCACCTCCATTGACACAGGACACTTGAACCAGTTGAAGAAGGTGGAAGTTGCAATTGTGCTGGGTAGGGGAATCTGTCCATCTCCTAGCCAGGCTGTGGAGGGACAGGGGGTGGGAGGACTCAGGACTGAAGTCACAAGGGTTTAGGAGGGGGACCATGCGGCAAGAACAGGAGACTGTTGACTCTGCCTCCTGCTCCCAGGCTCGGCCCCTGACCCGCTATCTGCCCATCCGGAAGGAGGACTTTGACCTGAAGACCCACATTGAGTCATCAGGCCACGGCGTGGACACCTGTCTGCACGTGGTACTCAGCAGCAAGGTACCAGGCACAGGGCTGGCCCCGGGTACTTGGAGAGGACACCACGGTCAGACACCTGCCGGATCCCTGTGACTGAAGGCTCAGTTCCTGCTCTGACCTGCCTGGGTCTCTGTGTCAGGGCTAGCAGTGCTGGCCGGAAGCCATGCTGGCAACATCTCCTCTGGGAATTCCAGCATGAGTGACAGCAGCACGCACTTCCAGAGGCAGCCTGGGCAGAGGGGCCAAGGAGGGCTGTGTGCCGGCTCCTGACTGGCAGCTGCTCCCCCCCTAGGTCTGCCGTGGCTACTTGGTCAAGATGGGCGGCAAGATTAAGTCATGGAAGAAGCGCTGGTTTGTCTTTGACAGGCTGAAGCGCACGCTGTCCTACTATGTGGGTGAGTGTCCCCGTGACTGCCTCAAGGTCAACCCACACAGCTAGTTTTCTGCAAGATGACCATGCTTCTGGAGGCTAGGGTTGGTCTTGTCCTCCTGGCCACAGAGCCGGACACAGTGAACTTGGCTCACCTGCACTTGTGTTTTTTCATTCATTCATTCATTCATTGACTCACTCACTTTGCAACATTACTGAGTACGTGGTGTGTGCCTGGTCCTGCCCCGGGCTCTGGTGATCTGTGAGCTTGGCCTCAGCTCTCTGGGGGCCTATACTCAGGCAGGTAACACCTGCTGGCCTGGCTCTCTTAGGGAATGTCAGATGCTGCAGGTGCCTGGCCCTGGAGGGGATGAGGACTCCCTGCCCAGGGCGAGTTCCCTCAGGGACTCTAACTGGTTGTGCAGTTGCCTGGGGGGCTCCTGGAACTGCCTCTGGAGTGTCCCCCAGGGGATCTGAGCCACTTTCCTTTCCCGTGGGTGGTGAGCCATGGCAAGGTACTATTGCACACCTTTCTAGCCAGAGCAGGAAAAGAAAGGCTTAAGTGGGCCCTGAATTGGTGATAAGTATGCCTGCTGGGTGTGACATGTGTCTCGGCTGTGCCCCACCAGCCACACGCTGGGAGAAACAGTCCTCCTGGGACCTTGGAAGCAGTGAGGGACACAGGTGTGGTGCCAAAGATGCCCAGGCCTGGGCTACCCGCTGTCCCCTCTAACCTGCTCCCTAAGCAAGTGCCCTGGGTGTGGGGCAGCAGAGGCACAAGCATGCTCAGTTTCCCACCAGGGCTGGGAGAAGCCAGCCAGGGGAGAAGAGCTGGGTTGTAAGCGTAGGGTAGTGCCCCCTGGGACACCCAGCTTTATGGCGAGGGTCTGGGTTACAGGCAGAGTGACAGTGGAAACTGTTGGGGAGTAAGAATTGCCACCCTTGCAGACCACGTTGGTTGAGCACATGTGAGAGCCGGAGGAGGTGCTGAGTGCTCCACGCATGTGCTTTCATTCTGCCTTTGCAGGTATCACCTCCTCTTCACATGGGTGAGCCTCAGAGAGGTTAAGTCGATCTCCCCAGTTCTCACCGCTCTCCAACTCCTCCCCTCTCCTCCAGCAATTAGACTGTAGTGCTGAGCAGGAGAGAGAGCTGCTCCTGGACCAGGAGGAGGAGGAGTGAGAACTAAGAGAGACAGAGCAGAAGGCAGGAAGGCAGCACTGACCCCGCACCGGGTGCTCGGCATGCGTGGCCTCGCTGAATGTCCATGGGTAAAAGGAAGATCGGGTTCAAACAGAAATAAGGGAGGAAGCTGGCCAAGGGAGCAGACATTTGCGAGCAGGAGGCGTCCCCAACCATGAGAGAGAGATGCGGTGACCAGACCCGGGATGACGTGGCTCTGAGGCTGCAGGCAGGGAGAGCAGGGTTTCTGCTGTGCCCGGGGCAGGAGCCAGATTGCACAAGATCAGGAAGAGGTGGGGGGTAAGGAAGTGGCTGCAGGAGCGAGTTACTATTTCCAGGGGAAGGACTGGATAGGAGGGAATAGGGCCCAGAAAGGCGGCCCGGCCTGGAGTCAGGGTGAGGCTGGAGATGGGTCCAGCGGCTGCAGGAAGGCCTTGGTGCACCTGGCGCACCCCACCTGGGCTCCCCCTCCCCATCTCCAGGGATGGAGGTGGCCGGTGGCCCAGGGTGCAGGTCAGGTGCTGCCCTTGGAGAGGCCTTTCCTGACCTTGCCTCACTGGGTGTGGCAACTTTCCGTTGCCTTAGAGTTCCCCCAGCCCCTGTCCCTCTGATGACTGAAGCCACTTGATGTATGCCAGACCCTGCTCACTGCTGCGCATGCACTCTCACTTATGGCTCGTTAGCATCTTGCAGTGCTTTCACAGAGGCCTGGAGGGTGCCCTCTGGGGAATGAATGGATGAGCCCTGTGCATACCTCCTCCCTCCTCTCCCCACTCCTTCCACACCAGGCTGTAGGCTTTGCAGAGCCATGTTTTTGATTGGTTGGCTCACCAATTGTCAGAGCCCAGACCTTACCAGGTGCTTAGTGATGTTGCTGAGGGAATGAATGAATGAAAAAAACAAGCGGAAGTGAACCAGGTTCATTCCCATCTCCCTCTGCACCCAGGAGGTCAGGGCCAACCCCTGTCTCTGGGCACCTGCTGACGGCACGCATGTGGTTGCTGGTGTCTGGGGATGGTGGAAACTGGTGGGGAGGGTGTATGGAGGGGGCTCAGAATGAGCCTGGTAGGTTGTACAGAGCAGTGCTGTGGGCATGCAGGGCAGGACAGCACAGCAATGAGCAGTGCCCTGTGTGTGTGTTGTGGGTAGGGGACATGTCGTGGGTTTGAGAATCACGCAGGAGATTGCTGGAGGGAACAGCTGGAGAACATGGCACAGGGGCAGAGGCATGCCAGGGTGCGAGTGGTGTCTAAGCAGCCTTGGCCACAGCAAGGAAGCAGCCACTTCCAGGGGACGAGGCCCCAGCAGGGAGGTGTGAGCTGCACCAGTGGGATGAGCTCCACCCAGGGTGGGATGAGCTCCACCCAGGGTGGGGTGAGCTCCACCCAGGGTGGGGTACAGGGAGGAGGAGAGCCCTGGGGTGGGGCCAGAACAAGGATGCAGGTGTGGATGGAACTGTGACTCGGTCTGGACCAGATGGGGAGCAGCCCCACCCCAGGACGGGCTCCTTTCCAGCTTGGCCACTGAGGATGAATGCCTGGTGTGGCCTCTCCTGTGGCTGTGGTATCCAGTGGTGGTGGCCACAGGGTGGAGCCGGGGTACTATGCTGCCCTGACGGCTCCTGCTCTCCCCAGTGAATGGCCACCTCCTCTTGCCCTGACCTGCAGGTGCTGGGTACTTGCTGCAAGCTTGCTTCCTTCTTTTTCTGCTATTTGGTGAATGCATTCCTGTGGTTCAAAATTCAAACATGGGAACAAGTTTAAGGAGCCAGTGTCGTAGTGCAATAGGTTATCACCATCTGCAATGTTGGCACTGGTGTTTGAGTTCTGGCTGCTGCACTTCGGACCTAGCTTCCTAAATAATGCAGCTGTGGATGGTTCTAGGACTTTGGCCCCTGCACCCATATGGGAGTTCTTGGCTCCTGACTTTGTGCTGGCAATTGTAACCACTTGGGGAGTGAACCCATGGACTAAAGATCCATCTGTAGCTCAGCCTCTTGAATAGTTTTTAAAAACGATTTATATATTTTTATTGCAAAGTCATAGTTACAGAGGGAAGGAGAGACAGAGAACTTCTGTCTGCTGTTTCACCCCCCAAGTGGCTGCAATGGCCAGAGCTGAGCTGACCTGAAGCTAGAAACCAGGAGCTTCTTCCAGGTTTCCCATGTGTGTGCAGGGTCCCAAGGTTTTGGGCTGTCCTCGACTGCTTTCCCAGGCCACAGACAGCTGGATGGGAAGCGGAGCAGCTGGAACATGAACTGGCACCCAAATGGGTTCTTGGCGCATGCAAGAGGAGGACTTTAGCCATTAGACTACCACGCCAGACCCTCAAATGTTTTTAAAAAAAGGTGCTCCTGCCTACCACAGGAACTATTATTTATGTAATTCCCATGTGTCCTTCTGGAGTTTCTGTAGGAGAATATTAGCAAATAAACATGCAAGGACTTTCCAAAAGGTCATGGGAAATGTGTATTGTGAAAACAACTGCATGGAATTTCAAAATATTTTGCACCAAAGTCTCTTTTAATCCATTTTTTCTTTAAATTTGATTCAATTTTAAAAGAATCTTTTAATTTGAAAAGGCAGAGTGACACAGAGGGAGAGACAGGGCAATGTCCCATCTTTTGGTTCACTCCCCAAATGCCCAGTCAGGGCCAGGCTGTCAGCGCCAGGAGCCAGGAACTCCATCTTGGCCCCAACACATGGCAGGAGTCCACACACTTATACCTTCGTCTGTTACCTCCTGAGTACATTATCAGGAAGTTGGATGCGAAGCAGAGATGGGACTGGATCCTAGGCACCCCAGGGTGGGCCAGGAGCTTCCCACACAGCAGGCTAACCCACTGTACCACAAGACTGCCCTTGAAATTTCTTCATTTCCCTGTTCTGTTTTCCTTACCCCTTTTTCCTGCGCAAAAGGTAACATGCATTCCTTTTTCTTCTAGTGTATTTTAGAGACCTCCAATGGCTGTATCTCCATGTAGGCATTTATAGCTGGATGCGTCTTACAGGTTTATTTCTGACTGTGTTAGTTAGCAGCCAGGTAGAACTGCACCTCACTGTGCCCTGAGATTGTTTGCTTAGTCTGCATCTGGCGACTCCTCGGGTCATGCATCATCTTCCGTATGCAGAGGGCTATGGTGAGTGATCCACACACGTGAGATTTTGTGCACGTGCGAGACCGTCTCACAAGTCTACCTACTGGGTCAAAGGCAGCATGTGGATTACCACTATAAGCAGTCGCACACCTGCCCACCGTAGGGGGTGATGTTTTGAGTTTTTGTGGTGTCCTGGCAGAGCGAGGCCAGGGCTCCCTGTGGTCATTCAGTAACCCCCGCAACCTGCACATAGAGAAGCTCAGCCCATCCCTCTCCCCCTGCCCTCATTTCCTTTGCAGACAAGCATGAGACGAAGCTGAAGGGCGTCATCTACTTCCAGGCCATCGAGGAGGTGTACTATGACCACCTGCGCAGTGCAGCCAAGGTCAGGGGTGGAGGGCTCTGGGGGAGGAGGTGGCTCAGGGAAGACGGGGGCTGGTGGGGCCCCTGTTCCTTTTGTCACACTCTCTCCCTTTCTCCTCTTCCTCTCCCAGAAGAGGTTTTTCCACTTCACTATGGTGACTGAGGTACCCCTCCCCATACTCCTAACCAGAACCACCACCATTGCATATTAACACCCCCATACCTACTCACCCCAACCCGGACTCCCTCCCTCCATGCTCCTAACTCACCCAGGCCTGAGGGAGGAGCGGAAGCCAGAAGCCCTTGGGGGCCAGGTGTGTGGCTTGCTGCCCGCTGTGCCAGGAGATGGCAGCAGGACATGAGCCCCTGCAGGTGGCCCTGCACAGGGCTGGGATAAAAGGGGGGCGGAGCTCCAAGTCCAGGGCTGAGAGATGGAAGAGATAGGGAGTAATGCTGGCCAGCCTCCTGGGGTCCATCAGCCCTGCCCTCTGCTCCTCTGGGGTCCAGCCCCGCTGCTTGTAGCTTTTTCCATCTGACCCTGATAGTCACTGGAGAGCACCTAGGACAGTGCCCCCCACCTTGCTCTTAGGGTCCCCAAAGCTCTTAGAGGCTGGCCCCTCCTACTTGGGATGAGGAAGGGGTCTGATGTGGGCTAAGGTGGTACCAGGCTTTGGGGCCTGTCTAGGACCCATCCCCTAAGCTGCAGACTTTCTTGGGGAATGGTGGTCCGCCATCAGGGGCAGGTGAGTGAGTCGTGGTGACATGCCTTCCTATCTCTCGGCAGAGCCCCAACCCGGCCCTCACCTTTTGTGTGAAGACCCATGACCGGCTCTACTACATGGTGGCCCCGTCGGCGGAGGCCATGCGCATCTGGATGGACGTCATTGTCACAGGGGCCGAGGGCTACACTCAGTTCATGAACTGACTACTGCTGGCTTCTTGGACCCTGCCCCTGGCTGCCTACTGGGCAGGGTGCCGTGAGCAGCTGGGTGCGAGAAAACCGTGGGGTTCTGGAAGGCCCAGAGGCTTTTGGCCCATTGGAACCAGCCAGGAGCTGAGAGGCAAGGAGGGGAGCCCAGAATTTGCAATAACTCTCTTGGGTTTCCACCCCAGACCCTGCCAGGGCAAAGTGGGCCCCCTGCCCTGTTCCCTGCCACCCTGGCTGGCTTCTCCTGCGGAAAGGACACATATGGTACCAGTCTGCCAAAGATCCCCTCCTGCCTGGCCAGCCCTGGGCTGGGACTCTGGGGGCTGGGCAGAGCCACACGCACAGTGGGGTGATGGCTCCGGTGGTGTACTTCTCAGGCCCTGCTCCGCTCCAAAAGTCACCCCTCTATTTTTTATCCACTTTGCTCCAGGGCCAGAGGCCTCAAGCATCTCCCTTGAGGTAAGGCCCAGATCCAGCTACACCCTGGTCTGCATAGTGACTGTTCTGTCGCCATGGTAACCTGCTGATTGCCTGGTGCTGTGGCTGTACCCACTGTCTCCCCTGGACTTTCCCAGGGGGCCCCTGCCATCATCTCTCCTGCCCACCCAGGGGCACCTAGCGCTGGGGGGAAGAGCCTGGACACCGCCTCTGCCTGTGTCTCCATCCCCCTCCCCCCCACTCGTGCCTTGCTGGAGCCAGAGCGGAGGGGGGCGCTGAAGCCACTAGAGCAGCACCACTGTGCATACAAGGAGTCTAGAAGGGCTGGGTGGGTCCTGATGGGGACAAGCAGGGGGAAGGCCTGAGAGGGCAGGCGGGGCAGGCCTGGAGCCACAGCCCCCCTTCCTGGAGTTGAGAGCAGAGGTCCCAGCCTCCGACCAACTGGCCTCAGCCCTTTGCGCCTTAACACTAAGCCCATTTCCCCGCCTGTGCCCCAGCCCCAGGCCTTGGGCCACCTGGCCTGGCTGGCGGTTTTCAGTATTTCTAAGTGTTTCTGCAGAACAATAAAGCATTTGGACTAGGGGAGTGTGGGCACGTGGCTGGGTGGACTGAGGGCTCAACCCTCCCCAGATGAGAAATTCCCTCAGTGGAAGGTGCCAGGAGGGATGTAGAACCACAAATGTTACCTGCAAGTCACTGCTGTGCGCTGGAGGTGACGGGGCAGGAAGAGGCAGCGGGAGACAGGGGTGGTGAGAAGTTTAATGGGGGCACTTGAGCTCCCTGGGTGGGACAGGTGCACCGGGCCGTGGGGGTCACCGCAGTAGGAGGTTGAGCAGAAGGGCTGCAGTCAGGCACTGGGGCGCCAGGGTTGTTAGCTGGGTGCCCGAGCTCAGCCTGTCACCATAGCGGTCCAGGAACATCAGGGCCACTCCATTGGTCCAGCCAAACCCCTCCTGGACAGAGGTCAGGCTGGTGGGGACACAGCTTGGCAGGGGAGGAGGGGAGTGGGAATCGGGGTCCCGGTCCTGCCTCTCAGGCAGGGGGGCACACTGGGGTCTGGTGGGGAAGGAGTGCCACCACGGGGTATAGCAGGGCTCAGCCCACTCACCTGGACTTCATACTCCCCTCCTCCGCCTGGCTGCCCACCGTTGCTGATGTCATACTGGGGCCAAGAGGATGGAGAGAAGGTCGGGCTGTGGTCCCACCCGCCACCAGGCCAGCCCCAGGGAAACCACCTGCAGAGAGCAGTCACTCCGCCGCAGCCCCGGCCCCTGCAGTGCCCAGGGATGGCCACTGGGTGCCGCCAGTGCTCTGGACCTTCCCTCCACACCTGGGGAGAAGACCCCAGTGCGACTGGGGGTGACCCCGGCAGAGCTCACCTTCTCATACATGACTGACTTCTGGGAGTAGACATCAAAGTTGGTGCGAATCCAGTTCTGAGCAAGCTGGAAAGCCACTTCCTGCGTCTGGGGTGAAGTTGACTTGGCCAGGCCTAAACCCCACCCGGGGACAGGACCGAGAGTCCCCACGGCTCCCATCACACACAGCACAGAGGCCCCAGGGAGGGGAGGCCTGGGCCCTGACACCCTCTCCCCGGATCCCACCTGTCCTCTGCCCGGGGACCTGGGAGCAAGTGGGGAGGGGGCGCCAGGTGGGAGGCACGGGGAGCAGAGGAGAGAGAGGAAGGCAAGGGGCCTCCTCTGCAGCTCGCTCCTCAGGCCCTGGGCTGTGCCCCCTCTGGCCTCCCTACCTCTGATGACCACGTCCTGCAGGGGGGCCCAGGCATTGGGGAAGTCCCACTGCTGGCCTGTGTTCCGAAGAGAAGTGGGGATGCCGTGCCGGTAGCTCAGGATCTGGCTGTCCTAGAAGGTTCCAGCATCACTGTGGCTGTGGTGGAGGTTGCAGGAGGAGCCAGGGTGCTGGACCCCAGGAGAATGGGCGCCTCCTTAGCCACCTCTTCGTGGCCCGCGGCCGCCCCCATGTGGCCATGCTGGGACATGCAGGCTGAGACCAGCGGACAGGAGGGAGGCGCTGCCACCTCCCAGGTCCCTGCTCGCTGGAGTGGGGAATGCTGCCACCTCCCAAGTCCCTGCTCCCTGGAGTCCACGGGACAGGGGATGTAGTGGGGGACGGACAGACCCGGCTGCTGTCCTCTCACCTCCAGGTACTTCAGAGCTCTGTCCGCGACACCAGGGTCAGAGAAGCAGCCAGCCCAGAGTGGGGTGAGGTTGGACGGGTAAAACTCGTGGTTCTTCCTCTGGTTCTCGAGGTCATAATCAAACCAGGAGCCCTTGTCTTCGTCCCATAGCAGGGCTGTCAGGGCTGCCTCCCGCTGGGCCCGCAGGTTCCTGTACTTGGTGGCCTGGGAGTTATTCCCTGGGGCAGCGCTGCCTTCAGAGGGAGCTCACAGAGCCCTGCCCCCCAACACTAGACAGCTCTGCTCCACCTTCCTCCCCGAAGCTAAGGAATCCTTGACACCCACCTCCTTTCCAACCTGCAGGGCCCTCCAGTTCCCTCAGCCAAATGGCCCTGCTCTGCCCCCACAGCCAAGACTGGCTTGCTTCCTGGGGTCATCCTGCAGACACACTGGCCATCTTGCTTCCCTAGTTCTGTGGGTCCCTCACCCCGAGTGGCTGTTGGGAGAGTTAAGTATGGATGTGTGGATGAGGGTGTCGCTGCATAGACTCTAGGTGCCCTTATGTAAGGGGCCCCAGGTGTGTTCCCTCTTAACTCTGATCCTCTGGAAGCTGTTTTCTGGAGGGGGGAGGCCATGAGCTGGCTAGGTGCCCTCACCCTGGCAGTCCTTCCTGGGCAGTTCTGTTGGCCAAGACCAAGGCTGGGGCCTCAGCTGCAGCCCTGGCTTCCCGGGAGCTCACCCACCCAATCTGCTGTAGAAGTTGCCCATCAACTCCTCAGCTTGGCACAGGAAGGCATTCAGGTCGACGGGCACCATCCTGCTGGTCCGAATGCTGCTGAGCGAGTCAGGGTCCGGGCCTCCCACCAGCCAACGTGAGGAGAAGTCCCAGCCAGACTCGGCCCCAGACTTAAGCTCGGCCCACAGGCTCTCCTGGCTCCCTGTGAGGACGGAGCAGGTGCGGGGAGGCCATCCAGGCCAGGCTTGGCTGCAGCAGGCAAGGGACCAGGCTCTGGGGTCATGCTGTCCCTTGCCCCCTCCACTACTCACCTTCAGGCAAAGTGTCTGCCAGCTCTGCATCTTTGCTGTAGGATTCAGGCCTGACCCAGAAAGGAGAAGTGAGCACCCTGGCTCAGCAGACCCTGACATCCCAGCCTGGGTCTGCCAAGGGCACCCAGGAAGGCCAGACTGAATCAGCCTGTCCCTTGCCCAGGGATGCCATGAGGCCCCAACCAGAGTAAGTGGCAAGAGGCTGAGGGGAGCTGGGCCAATCCTCACCTGGGCCCCCCATAAGGGACATAGTAACGGTTCAGGGTGTAGTTCCTTTCCCCGGAGCTCACGGAGATGGTCCTGTTTTCTGCCCAGAAATTCAATTCCAAGGCCAAGGTTTCAATGTTCTCCCTGGGGAGGCATGGGCACTGCCTCAGCCCACCCACACGACCCCTTTCCCCATGCCCCATGCCCCATGCCTGACCCCAGGGAGGTGTGAGGTGTGGGGTGGGGGTCCCCACCGTAGGAAGGTGATGTCATCAGTGTGATTGATGTATCGGTCCATCATGAGCGTCAGGAGTGGGGGTTGGCTGCGCTGCAAGTAGTACACTCGCCCGCCATTGGGGATGTGCCCGTAGCTGTGGGACAGGGACCGGCTGAGATGCCCTCTTGTTGCCTAGCAGCTGCAGCCCGGAGCTCCTGCCCGCACCACTCTTACGTTTTCACCAGGTCCAGGAAGTTCTGTAGCATGCCCTTGACTGTCTCTGCCATCTCAGAGAGCAGCAGCCCTTCCATGACCCAATAGGAGTCCCTGGAGGACAGTGGAGTCATTACCTATGGCTGTTCTCTGCCCGGCACAGCCACCTCCCACCGCAGTTCCCTGGCCTCTCGGGCCTGGGCATGTACCAGTAGTAGAACTCGAGAAAGCGTCCACCAGGCACGATGAATGGGTTTTTCGAGTAGATAAGAGAGAATCGCTCAGGTTGGCTCAGCACGTCTGGCTTCATCTGCAGGCAGGAGAATCCCTGAGGTGAGGCACCAGCTGCGGGAGACTAGCAGAGGTTCTGGCCCTGTGCTGCGGGCTGTGTGGGCAGGGCCGAGCCCCTGGGAGCCTCGCTGGCCACCCATAGGTCTCTCAGGTCCTTGCTCAGTGTGAGCATGTGCAGAAAACCTAGCCATTCAGCTAGTGGGTTCCTGGCAGGTGTCTGCCAAGCATCAGTGGTAAGGTGACTTGGGTTTCTGGCTGGATGGCAGGTGCCAGTTCCCACTTTCCTCTCCCCTGCTGCCACCAGCAGACAGTAGCAGCCCACCTAGGCTGTTCTGTGGCCCAGGTGGGGCTACAAATCCAACCCTTCCCCCCTATGAAGCAGACATGAGTGACAGGAGCGAGGCAGAGCGAGCCCAGGAGGGGCAGCTGGGGCCAAAGGTCTCCCAGGTTCTTCTGCCCCAGGCCATGTCCGCAGGTACTGGTTTTAGTGGGGTTAGGGGCTCAGCTGGTTCAGCCATC